TTAGAAGGATTAGGAATGTATACACAGCATTCAGTGTATAATGACAAGTATTTTCGTGTGCTCTTGTTAGAATGTCTAATGTCATCTGATTTTAGGGGACAGTTTGCCTTATTAAAATACATATATGTATACATATTTTTTTAATTTAGGAGAGGGAGAGATCCGTCATTGTATCTTTTATAGTGAATACTGCCATGGAGGGAACATAGATAAATAACAAAAGATTATATTTTTGGCAATACTTTCCTGCTGAATGCTTAAAACCAAATTAAAATGAGACCTGTGTTAATTTAAAATGACTTCTTGCTATCAAGGCCAGGTAAGTCTCTTTAGACATTACTCTTGGAACCACACACAATGTCAACTGCCAGAATGGGTCACCATCTTGCTAGATAGACTTTTGTTGGTGACTCTCCTTAGGCACATTGCATTTCTTTGTTGGTCTCTAGCTTCTGGAGTCCATCAAGCTCCCGGTTTAAGGAGACCAAGTAACTAACCGGGGATCCTGTAGAAAAGGTTCTCTTATGTCCCAGCTCTCTACTGACCTTGGAGGACAAAAAAAAAATACTGACTGTTCTCTTAGCCTAGTTATTTCTCTAGTTTTGGCCTCCAAACTTTAGTGGTTGAATATTTAGTTATTTTGGTTTTAGCTAGGAGATGTAAAGCATAAGTGTAAAATTTTTTTGATAGCTATTTCCCCAGTTAAAGGCAAAAAGTTGTGAGCTTTATAATTTAATATCTTGGAAGGGTGTTTTTAATTAAGGGCTTTAAAGTTAAATTTTGGCAAGTCAGAGAAAAACTGGGGTTTTAAGAGTCTGAAGATTAAGAGCTTGAACACTGGCTGATCTGGGAGAGGTCTGACAGAGGAACAGGAGGACAAGGGAGTTGTCGGAGCTGGATGCATGGCAGCCTGGTGAATGGGAGTTGGGAGAGCGTATGACACAAGGATAGAGGTGCAGCAGGTAGCCTGAGCCATGTGGCTGGGCAGCTTTCAGAAGGTGGCCCTGGATGAGCTCAGGCTTTTTGTGGGTCAGTTCACTAGTGGAGCCAGGCAGCCACAATGTGGCAGCAGCTGGAAGGGGAGAGATGGCACACTGCAGGTGGGCAGAGGGAGGGTGGGAAGCCATAGCCTGGGACACTGTGGAGAGGGAACCAGGGGTGTGGTCTGCTGCACTCAGGGTTGCATGCCATGAGGTGGGGCAAGGGGTCTCGCCAGTGCAGGCTCCTGTTTTCCTTACCTGGGCTGTTCTCAGGAACTGGTGCAGACTATGGGCTGTGTTTGCAGGCACTGAGGGTGGCTTCTAGCAACCAGAGGGAGGGCTGCATGTGGTCCTGCTGTGCATATGAGGACCTGTTAGATCTTGACATCTATGACCGCATCTGTGCCTGTCATGTGGGAGTTGTTGGGACTATGAGGAGGGTGGCGAGTGGGCTCTGGGCGGGACAGGCTGATAATGTTGGGTGCGGCATTTGGCACTGAGGTGGCTCAGCGTGTGCCTCCCAGCCTGGAATCAGTGCACTAGCAGGCAGCTGGCACACAGGAGCTCCCAGCAGGGCCCCTGGGGCAGGTCTAAAAGCAAATGGCCATGGTGGGACAGAGTCAGGTGAGGAAAAAGTCAGGCTGGAATAGGCATGAGAGGAAAGCAGAGAGGCTATGGAAGGAGGGGACAGAAGGGGGGAAAATAGGGTTTCTAACTTATTAGTAGAGAGAGAAAAGTCCACACCTGTAGCTCTACCTCTGATGGAGGCTTAAGAAATGGCTCTGACAGTATCTTTTCAGGTCACTCTGAGACACAGGATACCTGATGATCACTGAAAGAGTTGCCTTTCACCTTCCTTGGAGAGTGTGGAAGTTGTCTACTAATTATTCATTCAGGGCTGTCATGAAGGTACCTTTGGTATCTGCTGGAGGGCTGCCCCAGCCAAGACCCCGAAATTGCCCCTTCAGTTTCCATTAATTCTGTGTAATCAACAATCTGTCTCCAGAAAGAAAACCTGTTGTCCATCTGGTCAACATTCTATTGGCCATTGGTGTCAATGGGAATTCACCAGAAGGTACTGGAGAAATCTATCCTCTGCTGTGAGAGTGGCAGCTTCCCTACAGACAATTGCCAGCTGGCAGAGAAACCACTGTTTGGTTTTAGCATTCTATAAGGGACAAATAAAAAACTGAGCTGAATATTGATGAAATTTTATTTTAAAAAAAAAAACCTATTTTATGGAATTTTATTAAAGTGCACTAGGTAGTGCTTTAACATTATGTTTTCTTAGCACTAAGATTAAAAACCACAGCAATCACAAGTCAAACAGTTCAAGAGAATCTAGATGTAAGATATATAAAACAAGAAGACCTTGTTCACAAGAGTAAAACATCCCTTTAAAGAAATATAAAATGATTCACAAAAAGTACAAACAGTGGCAAATAAAAACTGACAATTGTGATTACCTATTTCAGCAATCAAGAAACAAAAGTGAACTCTTGTCTCCTGTTAATTATTGATTTTAGTTTTTTAAAATTATTTATTTTGAAAAATGGAAAATATCAAAAGTATTGTGCTCTCATCACAGAGTCGTTGTCTAGTGGGAAGCTTGGCCATGCCATGTTACAGAAAAAAATATGGGCTTCAGATCAGGACAGAGGTGAAGAAGGTTGAGATAATGCAGGAGGCAGGCTAGCAGGGACAGAGGCAGATAGACAGGCCCCCATTGGATTACAGAGAGAGGCATGGGACCACAGCTGAGTCTTCCAGTAGACATCTCTAAGTGAAACCAAAGGCATGAAATGCAAGCCTTTGATCATGACAAATGTCTTTGCAACTGGTCAGATGCTAAAAGAAAACATCCTTCCTAGGAGTGCTTTTCAAGACCAGAGCTAGAGTTTAAAAAGCACAAAACACAGGGCGAGCCTCTTTGTCTTTATGGAGAAGAGTAAAAGGCAGGCAGGGGGGAAGAAAGAGGGAGAGAGAGATTGGTGGTAGAAGGTATTTATCTGATCTGAAATGCACAGTGAGACCTGGCTTGGCAGAAGCAGCAGGAGCTGTAGGGACCAAGGTCTGAAGATATTGCTAGGCTGTCTTTGCTGGGATAGAGGTTCAAGAGAGCTTAAACTCCCCCCAGAAAGAGCTTGTCTGCTTCCAAGTTTTGGCACCAGATGTAAGAAATGAGAGGGAGAGACCAGCTGAGACCACCAGCCTTGTGTAAGAGGCAGCTTGGCGTGGAATTTACTGTGCCTGGGTACAGGCAGACAGAAGGCAAAAAGGCCATCTGTAGGGGACAAAGAGAAGCAGGCTTTTTAAAAATAGGAGTTGAAAGAAAGCAAGAGATATTAGGTGGGAAGATGCTCATAGACATTAGTGGTCAAAGTTCTCTGGCTGTCTTGTACCCCGTGGGTAGACTTCTTGAGGTGTCCAGTGTAAAACTGTGAGTGTGCCCAGATGTCCAGGGACCTGCCAGATTCCTTGTCCTATCTTATCTCTTTTTACAACAGGCTGTGTTTGCTAATCACAGCCAGGTGTTGAGGTGATCCCTGCTGAGGACAATGCTTTTGCTGGCAAGCAGGTTGGGTACTGAAGAGTCAGTCCAATTCGAGCCTTACAAGAAGCAGTCTACAGACTTAATTTGTAATATTAAATGAACCATAGACCTTGTTGAAATAAACACCAACTTGTTCCTTACATATCACTATTTTTATCTATGGCAAAATTCACTGGGTAAACTTTTGTCTAGGATTATTTGTATCAAGATTTAAATACAGGGGCTGGGGATTTAGCTCAGTGGCATAAGCACCTGCCTTGCAAGCAGGCTGTCGTGAGTTCAATCCCCGGTACCGATAAAAAGAAAAAAAAGTTAAAAAAGAAAAGATTCAAATACAGTTTCTCTTCATTTACTATTTTTGTCATATTTTCATATCACAAATTTACAGTGAGTATCAACCAGCTTTAGACTACAGAGAGGTCTCAGTCAGTGTGTGGGGCTACAAACAAGTCTTGAAAATAAAAGTAACGTGATCACTGGTAGAAAGGATTTTTGTTGTGAATATGAAGTACAATTCAGTGAGGATAGGCCAACCCAGAGCCAGAAGGGAGACACAAATGCACTACAAAAGACGAAAAGTCAAAAGGTAGCTGGCGATTGTGCTAGAAAGGGTGTGAAGAGTCCAAAGACAGGGTGGCTGCTCTAGCTTTTACCTCCCACAGCAGGTTCCACTTATCCTGGAGGCATTACCAGGGCCTTTTTCCGTCTGTTTCTATGGTTTTTGTTTTTGCTGGGCTGGGGACTGAGCCCAAGGCGTTCACATTGAACTACCTCCAGGCTTTTTTAATTTTTATTTTCATACAACATCTATGTTGCTAAATAGCCCAGGTTGAGCTAAAACTTGTGATCATCCTGCCTCAGTCTTTCAAACTGCTGAGATTACAGACACGTGCCACTACACGGAGCTTTTTTTTTTAAAAGAACAGTTACTTACACAGTGATATCTTAGCAACCCATCAAATAGGAACAACACACTTTTTATAGAAGTGCACCAAAGCCCCAGTAATTATTTCTCCCAGGGTTCATATTTCAAAGTGACATGAACTTGGGCTTCTGACTTAATAACAAATGAAGTTTTTACACGCTCAGAAAGAAATTAAGGAATAAAACATTAATTATACAGGGAAGTCCCACAACACACAATGAATTGGCATTGTCCATAAAACTAGAAAGTATACTGAGATTATTTTGCTTTGTCTTTGCAATGGTTTTTAATGTTAATGTGTTAAAAGCAAGCACCTCAATTGGTGAAGCTGGGCTTTAATTTCTCTAGATAGGCAGTGAGAAGAAAGGGGTAAAGAATTATGAGCACGACCCGGGGAATCGATTCATTCCTGTCTCAAAATCTCCTGTAAAAAGCAAGCATTATGATGGGCTAGCTCAGCCCTGCTGCACCCCAGCGGGCAGTCATACTGGTTCTCAACGGTTACACCACAGAGGTGATTTCACCGTCTCTCTTGCTCTAGGTGAAGGAAGCATCTAGAATTTGCTGGGCCAGCTGACCTCATCCCTGGAAACCGCAGCTCCCCCTGCTGGTGGTCTGCCACCGAGCTCACAGAAACAGCTCCCGCCTTCAGTTCAGGGACCCATTTCCCTGGCGCCATGAAACTGAGCAGCCTTTCCCTGCTGGCCTTGACTGTCCTGCTTTGCCTCCACGTGGCCCAGGCTGGATTACGGAAGAATGGAAGTAAGGCCTGGTGGTCCAGGGTGGGTTTGCAGTAGGGAAGCATTTCCTCTGAGGAGCCCATGGAAAGAGCTGGTGCTGAAGCTGAGGGCGCCTGATCGGTGCCTGTATGACTTTTTTTTTTCCCCTTCAGCTAAATGGAAACCTGGATTTTGCCCGGAGTTTGGTCTTGACTGTATTTTCAATGGATTCCCTGGGTGCCTGAGTGATCGAAGTTGCAAGGGGATCAAGAAGTGTTGCTACTACAACTGCCGACATCAGTGTATGGATCCATCATGATTTCAGAATTGAGGTGAGCAGCCCCATTCGCCCCTGCCTGGAACCTTTCTTCATTTGTTATAAAGGGAAAGAGAAGGGTCTGTACAAAAAAAGGGGGGCAGGGATATAGCTCAGCAACATAAGTACCTGCCTGGCAAGCGCAAAGTTCTGAGTTCGGTTTCTAGTAGCAAAAATACCCCCAAAAAACAGAAAAAAGCAAAGAACTGTCTGTGCTTCCAGAGATCACAGCGATCAGAGCTTGCAGTCAACATTAGCTGAGAAAGACATCAGGAACAAAATTCCATTCACAATAGTTAAAAAAAAAAAAAAGAACAAAAAACAAAAAGCAACCTAGAGATCAATCTAACCAAAGTGGTGAAAAATATCTACAGTAAAATTACAGAACACTGAAGAAAGAAATTTAAGACACTAGAAGATAAATAAATGCATCTTTCCTTATGCCTAGATTGGCAAAATTAATACTGTGAAAATGGCCATCTTACCTATAATAATCTACAGATTCAGTGCCCTCCTCTTCAAAATTCCAATGGCATTCTTCAAAGAACTAGAAAAAATAATCCTAAAATTCCCACAGAAACACAAAAGACACAGAATAGCCAAAGCAATTCTGAACAAAAAAAGCAATCACAATACCAGATTTCAAATTATACTATGAAGCCAGAGTAACAAGAACAGCACGATACTGATACAAAATTAGAGACATAGACCACTGGGAAAAAACAGAGGACACAGACACAAATCTACTCAACTACATCTGATTCTTGACGAAGAATCTCCAAAATATACATTGAAGTAAAGACAGCCTCTTTTAACAAAGAGTCCCAGGAAAACCTCATATCCCTTTGTAGATTAAAACTAGATCCCTGTCTCTCACCCTGTACAAAAACCAATTCAAAATAAACCAAAGACCTAAGCATAAAACATGAAACTTTGAGCTAGGTGTGGTGGTACATACCTGTAATCCCAGAACTCTGAGAGGCTAAGGCAGGAGAACCACAAGAAATGAAACTGAAATTGCCAAAAAAAAAATTTTTTTTTAATTAAAAAACCATAAGGGAAACACATGAAGTGATAGGTACAAGCAGAGACTTCCTGAATAGTGCATTCCAACAGCACATGAAATAGCAAGAATCAATAAATGTAATTACATCAAATCTAAAAGTATTTGCACATCAAAGGAAACCAACAGATTGAAGAGACAGCCTACAGAATGGGAGATAATCTTTGCCAGCTACATCTCTGACAGAGGACTAATATCTAAGATACATAAAGAACTCAAAAAACAACATCAAAAAAATTAAATAGTGCTATTAATAGATGTGCAAGTAAACTGAACAGACACTTCTCAAAAGAAGTACAAATGGCCAACAAGTATACAGGGGGAAAAACATTAAACGTTTTAGATGCTAGGGAAATCTAAATCGAAACTACACTGGGATTCCATCTCACCTCGGTCAGATTGGCTATCATCAAGAATACAAAAAAATGGTAAGCACGGTGAGGATATAGGGAGAAAGGATCCCCTCTAAGCTACTGGAGGGAATGTAAATTAGTATATCCTAATTTACGTACTGGAAAGCAGTACTGAGTCTTCTCAGAAAAACTAAAAATAGACCTGACATTTGATCCAGCATGCCACTCCTTGGTTACATACCCAGAGGAATTACAGTTAGCATACTATAGCGATACCTACACACCATGTTTATTGCAGCACAGTTCACAATAGCTAAGATACAGAACCAGTTTGGCTGCCAGCCAGCAGATGAGTGAATAAAGAAGACGTGATATGCACAATTCATTATTTAAAAAAATGAAATTTTGTCATTTGCAGGAAAATGGATAGAATTAGAAATCATCACATTAGGCAAAATAAGCCAAACTCAGAAACACAAGTATTGATTGCATGTTGTCCTCACATTAATATGTAGGAATCTAAAAGAGATGACATGAAAGTAGAAGAAAGATTATTATAAGAGGAAGATAATAAGAGGCAGGGGATGTAGGGAGAAGATAAAGGGGATGGATATGATCAAAATATGCACAATGAAACAACATTTTTACATTAATAGACATTAAGCTTAAATAGAACCTAAAAATTAAATAACACAAACAAATAAATAAATTGAGGTACTTTGAGAGGTTTGATTGTGACCAGAAAGGAGGAAGACCCAGAGTAAGTCATCGTTCTCAGAAAAAGCACATTCATTTAGTGGAATGAATATCATGCTTTTCCTCTGTGTGAAAGGGACATTTGGACAAGATTAGCTCTAGGCTCCTCAGTGTTACTGATTTTTTATTATAATTATTTTCAATTTTTTTACAGTTTGCAGTAAGGAAGAATTTTCCACTACACAGGAAAGGGACTATTACACTACAGAGGAAAGGGATTATAAAATCCTAATTTCTTAGGTCAGCCTGCCTACAATGCTGACTTTCAGTCTCTGACACCTTGGCAGTACATCTCAGTGCTCTTGGGAGGCCTAGGGACAGAAAACCATGTCCCCAGTACAGTCCATACATTCTCATATCTCTGATTTTTCTCTACTTAGGTAGAAGCTTCTTAACCTGGCCTGTGAAGACATTGATGCTCTAGGCTCAGACTTGGAAACCTGGACCCCAATTCTTCCCTCCTTCTCCCAGGCCCTTCCTGTTATCAAGAATTAAATGCATTTGAGAGTTAAATACATATTAATATGAAAACAAAGAAACAAATCCCTGTGTATTAGCATTTTCTGTTGCTATAACAAACTACTTGAGGTTGAATGCTTTCTAAAGAAACAAGGTATATATTAGCTCACAGCTCTAGAGGTTCAGGTGCATGCCCAAATGTCTGCTCAGCTTGTGGCAAATGGCATGGTGGTGAGAACACATGTGAGTGTGGAGAGCTGTGTATACAGAATAAAGATTCAAGAGAAGCACAGGCTCCTTTAAGATAACCTCTTTTCAGGGGAATTAACTCAGTCTCACAATACCTGCATTCATCACTTCTAAAGGTGTTGCCTCCCAAAACCTAATTCCCTTCCACAAGCCCTAAAATTGTATCATCTCTCAATATTAACACACTGAACCCTTGGGGTATAGACTCATACAATATTCAAACCATGTCACACTGTTACTTAAAATTACATGAGAATCTATAAAACTTCTAAGGCTCTCAGTCTATCTGTCTGTCTGTCTCCCTGTCTCTCTCTTTCTCCTTCCCACCCCTCACAATGTCACAAGCCCTCTTGGCTGATCCTTTAGGATATATAAAATATATGGAGTTACTGTTTCACATTAGATTTTATTCATCTTTGCACTTACAATTTTGTGATATATTTCTCTTTTACAATATCTCCTGACACCTAAATTCTCCATAGGTCAGATTTAAGAGACACTGCAGAGTAAAATTTTTGTGTTTGGATCTTATGGAAAGCAAACATGTTCTCCTCCTAGGAAGGAATAAGTCATTTTTGCTAGTTTCTCCAGTACTGGTGCCAGTGGTCTTTCCACTTGTGGATCTACAGCTGGATTTGAAACTTTGCACTGGAAATGGATCAGGGACATAACATAGGCTCAGGGTACTTTATGTCCTACAATGTGGGCTATAATAAATTAGGGAGAGGATTTTCTTTCTATTTTATGAAAAAAAACTTTATAACCAAATAATAGAATAACACATTGCATACCATATCTCCAAAGTAGTTACTCAGCACAAGACGTAAACCAAAAGAATGTTTACAAAAAAGAAACAGATAATTCAGGCTTTCTTTGTAACAAACTAAGATAAACTTTCAGTATAAATGTAACAAATTAGCACATATTTTGAAATATTTTTTCAAACAACAGACTGTGTATTTGGGGAAAGTACTGAACTTTTCCCTATTTCCTTTTTAAACTGTCTTCTGTTTTTGTTCTTTACTTGAATATATATATTTTTCATAAAATAAAAATAAAGTCTCTCTTCCTAATTTATTATAGCCTGATATAGTGTTTCTAATATAAAAGAAACCAAGCCATATTTCAGCTTGTGTATCTGATTTATTTCACTTAACATTGTGTTCTTAAGTATGTAAATTAGTACAAGCACTACAGAAATCAGTGTGGAGTTTCCTCAAAAAACTAAAAGTAGAAATTTCATTTGACCCAGCTATCCCCTCCAGGTGTCTGCCCAAAAGGAAATAAGGCACTCCCTTGCCAACTAGTCACCCACCCCAAAGATAAGGCCTTGAAAGGTAGGTCAAGGACACATAAACAGACAAGATAGAAAAGCTGCATACAGACCGCCAGAAGAAAGGATGTTAGACAGAGCTGCCCGGAAACCAATCCAGTCACCGTATGTTCCAGGTATGGTATGGTATGTTGGGGGCATGGGTTTCTGCTCTCTACCATAAAAACAGCCCAAAACAAAGGCCCATGGGTCCTCCAGCTGTCTGGAGACCCCTACCCTCATTCTTCCTCATCAGGGGACTAGCTATCATGTCTCCTCTCCTTTTCCTCTTTACAAACAAAGTGTTTTCCTTTTGTTAAATTTTGCCCCTCTAATTTTTATTTATGATCCCGACGGGCTGCTTGGATAGCAGAGCATGGTGCTGATCCCCTAGATGTGACAGGGAGAGGGGAACACTAGTTAAAACACATTCACCAGGGGCTGGGGATTTAGCTCAGTAGCTCAGTGGCTTAAGCACCTGCCTGGTAAGCGCGAGGTCATGAGTTCTACCCCCGGCACCAAAAAAAAAGAAAAAAAAAAAACATTCACCTGTCTTTACAACACTAAAAATGAGTCGGCGAGACACCTGTTCCTCCAGAAGTTATGTCATAGGAACCACACAGCATGTATTACCCATGGGGGTTCCTGACAAGAGAGTTGAGCTTGCAAGTCTCCAAAACTATGAAAGAGAAGCTGAAAGGTATCATGAGGAAGCAATATGGGACATTCTGAAGAATGTCCATCTGTTTTGTTCAACAACTAAATAAATAGTACAGAAGGACAGTTAGGTGTAGTGGCACATACCTGAATCCCACTACTCCGAAGGCTGAGGCAGGAGGATCGCTGAGAATTCAAGACCAGCCTAGACTACAAAATGAGTTCAAGGTCTGCCTGAACTGCATAGTAAAACCTGTCTCTAAAAAAAGAACAAAAAAAAGTATAGAGGGAGAGAGTCATAGGGAGGGACAGAAAGGAGCAGGAGGGATTGTTCTAGATTAAAAGATAGTTTAGATATGACAATCAATGCAGTGTGCACAATTTGTGTAGATTCTGCTTCAAGTACACAAAATATACTTGAGTATACCAGACTCACTATATTCATCATAGAATAATTATACAAATAAATAGATATCACACACAACCCCTTGCTAACTCTAAGCTAATCAATTGTATCTGAGAATTCTAGACCAGCCCAGGTTACAAAGTGAGTTCAAGGCCAGCCTGAACTGCATAGTGAAACCCTGTCTCAAAAAAAGACAAAAAAAAAATAGTACAGAGAGAAAGAGGGAGAGAAAAAAAAGGAAGGACAGAAAGGGGTTACAAAGTCATTTTAACAACAATAAGAAACATATTAAAAAATTAGGTGGTGTGAAGAAATTACTGTTTTTATGTATGGCCATGGTGTTAGATCAGAAAATAAGTCTTTATTCCTTAAAGAGCCATACTGAAGTTTTTAAGGGTAAGATATAAGATGTATCCAGGTTTATTTTAAAATACTCCAGCCAAAAACAAATTAAAACATATTTATCTATCTTTACAACATGAAAGAAACCTTGTAAAATCATTGAATCTGGATGAAGTTATTGGGTTTCTAAAATTAGTCACTGGTCTTTTGTACACTTCTCAAAAATTTTTTTTTGTTTTGTTTTGTTTTTGTCTTTTTTGAGATGGGGTCTCACTATGCAGTTCAGGCTGGCCTTGAGCTTACTTTGTAGCCCAGGCTGGTCTCGAACTTGCAAGGATCCTCCCACCTCAGCCTCCTGAGTGCTGGGATTACAGGAGTGAGCCACCACACCTGGCACTTCTCAAATTTTTAATGAAATAATTTTTATGATAAAAAAATCACTGGATTTATTTCTGGAATGTAACATAATGACCATCAGGGTCATTTGTAAGAGGGAAATACTTATGACATGAAAGAATGAAATAGTTACAACACAGAAAATGAAGCACAGCTTAGGGATCAGTAATGAATACTATCAATCATTTTATAAAGCTATACTAATTAGAACAGCAATATGAGCACAAGAGTAAATAATGAAAAGAAACAGAAAACCCCAAGACAGCTCCTAATACGTATGAGTTTTTAATAATAGAATTCTGATTTCCAGTTCATAGAAAAAGTTTGAATTATTCACTATGTATTAAGGGGCAATTGTTTCATAATTTAGACAAAAAGATTTTCTATCTTATACATTGTGTCATAATAAATTTCAGATGAATTAATGTATTTTCAAAAATATATTAAGAAATGAAACATTTTTAAAAAAATTTAGAGAATATTTTTCTGACATCAGGTTCAAAAAGCCTTTTTAGCATAAAAAGAAACTATACATTAAAAGTGACTTAACTACACTCAATATTAAAATTTTAAAACAAAACAAAAAAAGGAAAGAATTTTTATTTTATTTTACTTAGTATTTTCAATACAAGATCAAAATAATATCAAACTAATCTCTTTCCTTGGAAACATTCTATAAGAATGTTATTATCTCTATTTCCATTTTACAGAATAAGCTGAAGTTTAAAAAAATTAGTCCTACAACCAGAATTTGTTGTCGTTAAGATTAAAAACCATGTCTATCTGACCTCAGTTATATCCATTGATCACTTTATCATACTGCTTCTCATATATTAATAGTGTCCTTAATATATAAATAGCTCTTACAAATCAGTAATAAAAATGGGCAAAATGCAAAAACAGGCAATTTACAAGAGGAAATACATAACCCACTAACTCAAATATTTATATAGGGAATATGAACAAGGTGTATTACAAACATGCAGTAATTTTTTTTTAAAAAGGAAGTGGATAAAGAGATGGTTGGCTAGAAGATGGAAGGAAGGGACAGAAGATGAAAAAAATTAAGATGTATTATGTACCAATTTCCCACAAGGAATGTAAACATTATGAACTACAAACATACATTTTTTGTAAAAAAGAGAACTGATCGTGTATAATCGGGAAAAAAATAACCCATTGGTTTCCTTCCTTAACAAAGCTGCTAAGGAGGTGCCCAAATTCCATGCAATCACGGAAAACAGAGCCTCTCTTCCTGAGAGCTTAAATAATAGCATGAGGGATTAAGTTAAATGCAAAGGAGAACTTCCTGTCTGTCTCACTAAATGAGTGAGTATCATGAGCCTAGAATGCCACTTCCCTCTTAGAGTCAGAAAAAGTATTGTTCTTTAATACCAGGCACCAGGGTGGCAACAGCAGAAGCTTCAGCTTAGTCTCAGAAGAGGTGTGTGTCCCGGGGCAGTCCTCTCCCATCTCTGCCTCACAGTCTCCTCACCTTGAAAATGGGCGGGTGGCAGGAAAGGCACGATCTCCCCCAGTACTGACAGAGTACTTAGTTCAATAGAGTTTCCATTTGGGGCCGCCCAGGATTTAAGTCTCTGCCACTTCTTTTCCACCAAATGCAGGAATCCAGGCCACAGATGCGAAATCCTGAGTGACAGTATTTTTTGTTCAGGCTCCCTGTGGCCAAGGAAGAGCCCCACTGGCACTGTATCTGCCATGGCTAGGACATTTAGCCAAACTCAAAGCCCATCCCTGACCACCAAGCCAGCCCTGACAGAAGACAGTTCTACCAAAGGCCATTGGAGGTGATCTCATCAAAGGTTAGGCTTTTTTCTCTCTCATTCAGAGGCCAGAACTGGCCTTACTCATCTGCCAGTGTGGTCTTGCTTCTCTGGCAGGAAATTCTGACCCTAACCCAGCCCTATTTCTCTTCCTAAGCATCCAGGACTCTGTAAAGCCCTCTGCCTTTCAAAGCTGACGTTCGTCCCCTACATAAGACAGTGGGTGGAGCTTGAAAGCATCAGAGAGCTAGCAAAGCAAACATCTGCCTCCCTCTTTACCCTCTATACCAGTGATGGCGAACCTATGACACACGTATCATTTGTTTTTCTTTTTAGACAAAAGATGTTAACATATGAGTTGCTTTTTTCTAAACTAAAACCGCAGTATTCACGTGTAACTGCAGTGTTGGCACTTTGTGATAAATAAGCGGGTTTTGGGCTGCAGTTTGGGTACTTGTCTCTAAAAGCCTCACCATCACTGATCTATACTGTCAATCGATTTAAACTCAGAAGCTGTAAAAGTAAGAAGAATTTATTTGGGGTCTTACGAATTACAACTCAAGAGTCACAGGTTCAGAGAACTCAGATTCAGTGTTCTGAAGAAGAGACACAGCGTGGTGGCTTGAATGGGCAGTGATGCTTTATTACAGAAGACTAACTGACCAAAGATAATAACGTGTAGAGCTGGTAAAAATGTCCACAAAACAAGACTCTGACAATCTCATGCTATGCATCATGAGTCTCTGGGCACAATATAATTTGATCATTCCAAACGCCTGCAGTCAAAGCTTATTTTCCAGCAATACCTTGAGATGTTCTTAAGCCCAGCTACCCTACTGGCCTCCCAAGTCCATTGTTAAAACTTCTCTCAGTGATGCTTTCATTGTGATTTTTGTTTTATTTTCATCATATAGGTGAGAAAAACTGAAGCTCAAGAAGGGACAAGACTTGCCCAACATCACATACCAGCTGAGACACAGGAAGAACTGGATCCAAGTCCTCCAACATGCAGGACTTGGGCCACCTTGTCTTCAGTTCTTGCACAAGCATCTTGCCCTGAGGTGGAGCCAGAAGGAGGCGGACACATGCCACACGATCCACCCTTCTTCCTCCTCTGACTCAGATCCTGTGGCCTCCCCAGGGCTGCAGGTGTTAATTTGAGGATTTTATTAGGTGTTGACAGCAGAAACATGAGGATCCAGTGCTTCCTCCTCCTGGTGGCCCTCCTGGCTCTGGGGCACCAGCTGCCTGCTGTCGCTGGCAGGAGAAAAGGAGGTGAGTACAGTCAAATCCCTGTGCTCCAGGGACGGTGTGATTTGTACCTCTCTGGGGAAAGTAAAGAATTCGTGTGAGAACAGGGGTGTGTGTGTGTGTGTGTGTGTGTGTGTGTGTGTGTGTACTCTGCTTCTGGGAGACCATATTTTTTTGGGTAGCTCTGTACTTGTCCACATGTATGTGTCTCTGTGTAAATGTCTTTCTGCCCGTTTCTTAGAGCTTATCTGTGCTTCTCTGCGCATCTAACTGTGTGTAAGGTTGTGCATGCCTATCTCTCCCTGTACCTGATTGTATGAATCAAGGAATGGCTGCATCCATATGGATCTGAGGTTACGTATCTGTCTGATATGCCCATGTGTGCCTCTGCCTGAGTATGGGCAGGAGGGAACCTGCCCATACCTACCATTCTGTGGTCATACTCATGGAGTTGTGCTCTGCTGGCCTCCTATGATCCTAGTCTCATCTGCGAAGGGATTTGGGAGTTCAGTAGGAAGTGTGGCTCCTGAGATCTACGATCAGCTGGAAAGATTCCCTCTCTGCTTCTCTTCTCTGTTTCCTTCCTCCTGACCCTGACTGGTAAAACTGAGGCTGCCCCGTTGGCACATGAGGGAAGCAAGGGTGCTAGAGTAGCCAGACAGGTGCTTTCTGATCAAGTGAGGTACTACAGGATGACACTCTGGCCTACGTTCACCTGTGTAGCCTTGGCCCACATGGGGAAAACACTGCAGGAGGAGGGTTCCTCTCTTCTACAGGACCTCAGGGGCAGTTTCTGCATCCTCTCTGCCCCTTTAACCTAAGTTATGCCCTCCACAGAGGCACAGGTACCTGCCTGGGGAGTTAGCTGGTTTAGGGAAGAAGACACTCAAAGCTCTCAGCCTGAGGAAGGAAGGATGCTGGTAGGTTCCAAGATCAGATCCTGGGTTGGCTGAGATTTGTGCAGTCATCACACAACTCCTCACCACAGCGTGGTGAGTTGGCATGGTTTCTACCCACATGTTTTGAGATGAAGAAGTCGAAGGATAGTGGGAAATCACATGCCCAAGGCCAAAGACTGACTTTTCATATCAAAGATGGCATCTGAGCATGGGGATTTTAGAAACACTTCCTTTACCAACTTACTCCCTGTAAAACGGAGCCTCGGGAATAAACTGTGCCTTGATGAATAAGTGCCGGGTATCCAGAAAATTCAGAAGAAGTGGACAATTCAGAGGAGTGAGCTGGAGGTAAAGAGATGTGTGCCCTGATGCCTTATCCAGCTGCTCAGAACAAGAGTCAAGGCCAGCAGATCCTAGGCCGCTCAGGGCCTGACCATGTGGCCAGGTAGGACACACTTTCTCCCCCAGTTCACTATATCCCATTTGTCACTGATTCCTTCCCCATTTAAAAGTATCTGTATACAGTACACCTATTTAACCACATCTGGGTCCATTCCCATGGCATCTGTGTCTGGGCAACCATCCATGTAAGTGACTGCATCAGTCACAGAATGTCTGCCTGTGAAAGGGAACCTAGAGGTGGAGGAAAGATTAGGAAAGCAGTTCTTCCCACTTGGCCTGGGCTTGTGAGCTCAGGGTTAAACCCTGGACCTATGACACTGTCTGTGGGCCCTTTACATCCCCCTCTACCTTCCCAAATTCCCCGTATCCCCCACCAAGAGAAGCTCCTCAGAGCAGGGGCTCCCTGTCAGGCTAAACCACACTCTCTCCAGCAGGGGGCAGCAATTTAATTTAAACTGGCCCAGCCTAAGGACAGAAGCTGAGTTTGAGACTCAGCCTGTAAGCAAAGGGTTATCTGTTTTGCACACAGTCAATGCCCAGGCAGAGGCAGAGGAGGGAAGGTGACACAAGGATATCATCAAAATCCTTGGTTGACTGCTAAAGGGGGTTCCTGAATCTTTTTTCTGATGCTGGATTGAATTGAAGAACCAGGACTAGGACTGGTCCCATCCCTGTAGCTCAGAAGCAGTCAGAGCAGGACATAGAGGTCAGAGAAAGCCTAGCCCAGACCCATATGAGTCTGGGTCAGTCACTGCCCCTATAAGCCCTTTTTTCTTCTTTCCAAAATCTCAACAAGAAGAGCACTTAGCTAAACTTCTATGGCTATTTGGAGGAATACCTCACAGAGTGAATCCCTATCTCTGAAACTTGTCACTTGCAACAGTGAGGAATACCACTGCACAGACACGGTTGATCACGCCTGTGGGACAATGCATCACACTGGCAACAGCTGACAATGTCTAACACAGGGTCTCCTTTCAAAACTTGTCATTGCAAATAATCACTGAGCACCCTCTCTCCATCACTGTGAACCAAGTGTTCCACTGTGAGTGGAGCAGACAGGGATAACAAGTCTCATAGCCTCTAGCCAAGAGAGGTACAGACAACTGCAGTCAAAATCTCTTGAAGGAAAGATGCTTTGGGAGTTCTCAGTGATGGAGTGGGGCCGATCTAGTTAACGTAGGATCAGAAAGTAGGTTCTTCTGAAGATGTGAGGTTTCAGTTAACCAGGTGAAGAGAGTGTGGGCATCAGGCAAGAGGGTGCCTTGCTCCCAAGAGCTCTGCAAAGAGGACTGATGTGGGGCAGAGAAGGAACCACTAAGTGGTGGAGCAAGAGTGACAGAGGATGAGGCCAGAGAGATGGGAAGGACCAGACCAGGTACAATCTTATTGGCTACAGTGGAGGTTTTTCTTTTAAACAAGGTTTCACTACATAGTTCAGGCTGGCCTTGAATTCACTATGTAGCCCAGGCTATCACTGACCTTTGCCTCAACCTCCCCAGGTGTGGGATTATAGGTGTGTGCCACCACAGCCAGCCACAGCAGATTCTGAAGTTCATTTTGTTTCCTATCCCTTATGCCATCTGAATCTCAAACCAGTCCTGGAAGGGGTGCGGGGGCTTCACAGGTCAACACAGGGCTGCTTCCAGCTACAACATGTGGGAATTCTCTTACAGAGAAAGCTGGGGGCTGTCCGCCAGATGATAAGCCCTGCCTCCCAGTTCCTGACCAGTGCACTGGCGACAGCCAATGTCCCTCAGGCAAGAAGTGCTGTTCCCAAGCTTGTTTCCGCCAGTGTGTCCGCAAGGTCTCAGGTAAGTGGCCCCCTTCCACCTTGCCAACAACTTCCAAGCCCCAAGCTCCAAGCCTCAGGGCTGACAGAAAGAGACAGAACTCAGCCAGGCTTTTGCGTTGCAGTAAAGCCAGGCAACTGCCCTAAGGACCAAATGCACTGCCTCAGCCCTGTGCATCACCTGTGTAATCGTGACTCTGACTGCCCATTCAGGAAGCGGTGTTGCCTAGGTGCCTGTGGCCGGGACTGCCGGAATCCTGTCAAAGGTACAACTCCTAGGGGGCCAGAGGTCCCTCCGGAGCCCCAGCTCAGAGATTACCTTCCAGCTTAGCCACCTGGCAGGGCATCTCCCCAAAATCCTGGGCCTCCCGAAACTGTGGAAATGGATAGAGTGGGAGGGAAGAACTAGGGATTCTTAGTCCTCTTAGTAGAATGTGGAGTGTGTTGCATCACCTGGGCCACATCCCTAACTGCCCTGGGCTTCAGTTTCGCTTTGGAAGGAGGCTGGAGTGTCCTTCCTTGGTAGCGATCAGTGCTGGTTGGTGAGGTCTGGAAGGGAAGATCAACTCTGGAACTCAGACTCCTTTTTGAAAGAGGGTTAACCTTCTTGTTTTCTCTCTTCTCAGGCTAATTTTGGTTTAAGATCATGACTGCAGCCCAGTGGGAAGAGCCAAGGACCTGAGCACCCAAAGAGCATTATTTCTGCCAAGGTTCTACCAGATAGACACTGACCCGCAGTGACCTCCCAGCAACACATTTGCTCTGGCTCCTCCTGCTGGGGGTCCAGGTCCACAGCCTTACCTGAACTTCATCACCCTGGGACCCCAGACCACTGTGGTGCTGAGCTTCCTACCCTGCCATGTATTCATTTTCAGATCTCTCCACACATTCTACATTCTGATTCTTCCGCCTAAATGCACAACTCAGGGACCCCTGTTTGTTGGGTCCAGCACCCAGAATGCAAGTCCTAGCAGAATCTCTAAACATCAGGCCATTCTCACACATAAACTTTCAGGATCTTCCTCTTACCTGCAAAACATCACATGATGCACGCTGTCTGTACTGCTTATTTAATGCTTCATTTTAAATGATTCACTTTTGTATATAACTGCATTTCAGTGGAAGACGATAGTCAAGATCACTAGCCACACATAGAGCGTAATTGTAAAAAGAAATTCAATGAAAACAGCTCATTTCCAACAAATTAAATTGTATCCAATTAAATACTATTAAACTCTAACTGGATGAAACCTCATGCCAACACTGAGCCTGAAGTTTGCTCTTTTTGGGTTGTTGTTTTATTTTTAATAAAAGGAGATTAGCAAGGGTTAAAGAGATATCAAAGATGCAGAGCTCTAAACTGGGATTTCTCCCTGATGTAATCAGGGTCAAAAAGGGAATAACTGTCTCACTCCAAGAGTCAATGTTGTATAATGCTACCACCAAACACTCACCAGGATCATTCTGGATTGCAACCACAGTGTAGGACACGTTGGAGCAGCTGGGATGCCATGTAAATGGTGAGTCTGTCTCTACTATTGGGCTCACTTGCCTCAGTTAGGGCTAAAGAGTGTTTCTTTTAGGGACAAAGATCCATGAAGGAAGGACAGCCATCCCAAAAGACAGCCCTGGACCCAGACATCTGCATTTCCCACTTTCCCTTTCCATCAGCACTTGCTTTGGGAAAGGAAAGAAGCAAGCACATTCCCTACCCTTCCTTTGTTCTGCTATAAACTCAAGTGTGGTATGGTCAACTGTGGAGGTGCAGTCAGAAGTCCAGGCCTTCTTTTCATCTTCTCTGGACTTGTGTTGTGATCCCACACGAGCCCTTCATCACTCCAGGCTTCTGTGTGCACTACTGGAGATGGAAAGAACTCCATTTCTTCCCCAGGTGCCAACATCCTTCTCAGGGGATTCAAATGCCTGAAGGGTTGACTCAGAGCAGCAAACACTAATTAAATGGATGCAAGGTGAGGCCTGGAGGAAGAGAGGGCTCTCTGACAGTCACTCACTACCTGTGAATGTGGTTATTTCTCTAACTCCGCCTGGGCCTCCGTTTCCCCGCCCATAACCTCAGGAGTTCACAGATAATATAGAGAATTTTATTCTTTACCCACAATTACCCCTTCCCTTCCATGCCTCCTAAGGGTGAGTGTGTATCCCTACGCCGAGTGATACGGGACTTGGCTAAGAACTTGTTCGAGCAACTGGGCAATGACAGGATGCCAGTTTCAGGACCAGTCAGCAGCCTGCTCAGAGTCTCCAGCTTCTGCTCAAGGAGGCTTGCTCAGAAGCTGCTGGCCACAGCCTGAAAAACACACGGGGTGGCCCTGACATAAGACGGTCCCAGCCAAGCCTCAGATTTGCAAGAGACAAATATTTGTGGTAAGAAGCCTCAGAGATCTGGAACTGTGGTCACAGATTTATCACAGTAAGTGCCTGACTAACGCAGACGTTGATTATTAGTCCACAGTAACCACCACCTTACACCTCCCACTACCAAACACCCTGCAGCCCCAGGAAAGGCTGGCATTGTCACTCAAATTCACAATGAAGCAACAGTGGTACTGAAACAAATGTTGGCCCAGGACCCCCTGCTGAGAACTGATGAGCCAGGGTTAAATTATACAATACTCTTGCTGCACAAATACTAATAAAACCAAAGAGCTACAATTATAGAATAGGTATCCTACACCAGGGAACCCTGTAATCATTTACATATATAACTTCATTAAATCCTCAGAACCTTACTACGTGAACTTTATTATTTTTTCCCATTTCACACAGCAGGGAAACTGAAGCAAGAAGAGATTAACGTGTCATACAACTTAAAAGTAATAAAAGTCATACAATTTATAAGTAATAAAACTAGGATTCAATCTCAAACAGTCTGACTCCAAACTTTATGTTCTTATTAACTACACTAATTACACTAAATCTTTGGAGATCTTTTTCCAGCTTTAACAACTCAATGTCCACAGTTCAAAAATAGGGTTCATAAAGCCCCAAGCAGGCTCAATGCTAGACAGCTGGAACCCAAGCCTGTGGGTGCACAGTTTATTGCCCTGGACTTCTTTCCTGCAGGGCAAGAGAAGTAAAACTCAGACATCTCAGCAGGAAATTTCCAGGCAAACAAGTTAAACCTTAGCTTCTAAGAGTCCCATGGCTGTGTGGGGGCCCTAAATTCTGCTGGGTCCCTAGCTAGGTGGCAGGATGTGGCATGCTACAGGTTGTAGCTTCTACAGGGCCCACTTGCTCAGCTCTGTCAAGCTCCCTACCTGTTCCATAGGGTCTGTACCATACCAGCTGTGTCTTTAGCCACCAAATTCCAACTCATTCTTCTCCAAATGCATTGTCTGTCTCCATCACTATCCTGGAAATCCTCCTGGGGAGTTCGTCACTGATTCCTTTTGCAAACTCCAACCTGGTTTCCTCTCTCATCTATGCAATACTTGTTTGCTGAGTACTTCACATGGCCTCCAGGCTGTGCCTTCACAGAGTTCATGCTCTTCCTGATGAGCTGAAGCCCAATCTGTGTGATTTTCAGCAGGCAGGGAGGAAACTAGGAGGCTATGGGAGGTCAGAAGCAACAGAAACCAGATAAGGCTTCCTAGAGGAGGTGCTATCCGCCTTAGCCTACAGGGAAAAAGAATCCATTTATATTTCTACAGCTAAATTAAATTTCTACCTGATACTCTGAGTAAAGAAAGAGAAGGAAGAGTTGTTTATGGGGAGGGAACAGCATGGGCTAATCCTTCCCTCACTCCTGAAAGAGAATGCTTATTTTGTTTTACAGACGAGGGAGATGCATGATGAGAGACAGACACTTGGCCCAAAGTCATACAGGAATTTAGTGGCAAATACAGGATTTAAATCCTATGTATTTGTTATCTCTTCCTATGTAACAAATTACACAAATGTGGAGGCTTAAAACAAGCCATGTTTGCTTTTTAAAATTTTCTGTGACACTAGGGATTGAACCTAGAACCTCACATATGATAGGCAAGTGTTCTACCACTGAACTCTAGTTTTTTGGTTTTGTTTTGAATGTTTTTGTTTTTATTTTTGTGTTTTGTTCTTTGAGTCAGGGTCTCATTGACTTTCTGGACTGCTCTGGAAGTTGTGATTCTCCCATCTCAGTCTCCTGAGGGCTGGCATGACAGGCATACACCACCACACACAGCCAACACACATTTATTATCTAATCGTTTCCATGGGTTAGGACCCTGGGCACTTTGGCTTCAGAGTCTCTGCATCATGGAGCTATAGTCAAGGTGTCAGCAAGGGTAGGGGTCTCATCTGAGCCTCAACTAGAGAAGGTGCTGCTTCGAGTTCACATAGTCATTGGCAGAATTTTAGCTCCTTGAGAGCTGGTAGATGAAATACCACAGTCCCTAGTTGGCAGTTGACTGGAAGTCACCTTTATTTCCTTGTCCTTCTAGTATGGAAATTTGCATCATCAAAATCCGTGAAGTGACAGCCTTATAGGGAACCTGATCTCGGAAGTGACCTATTTTTGCCTATTCTCTTCACTAGAGTCAAATCAGAGCCTCACAAACAGATCACAGGAGGAAAATGACACAAAGGCATAAATACTGGGAAGCAGACTTTAGTGGGGGGACTTTTTAGAAGTTGCCCACCGCACTCACTTTATTCTAAAACTTTCTACATTTTCCACCACATTAAGCCCACTCTACAGGTAAAACCCCATGGATTTAACAGTCATTTTAAACAGATATTAAAGGAGAATTTGAGAAACAGTTTCTCCATTTAGCCCTTTTAGCCCCAGTGACCCCTAATGCCTGTTTCCTTACTCCTGTGGCAGACAAATTTAACCACATGATCTGAGGATGAAACCAGATCCTGGTTGCATTCTCTTCTGCCCTTGAGAAATAGATTTGTCTTTTTTATGTTCAGTAAGCACCTCTTCAGCTCCAGGGAGAACCCTCAAGTTTTGAGGACAGTGAACCCTTCAGAATTCAAGACCAGGAAATGGAAGTTCTACTTCTCAGCAGATCTACCCATTTTCCTGTAGGTAAAATCAGGGAACTGGGCAAGATGATCACTGTGCAAGGCAGTGCTGTGCTAACATATTGAGGGGAAACCTGAACTGGCATACTCTAGACCAGCGTGTTCAGTATGGTGGCCTCTGGCAGCATGTGGCTGCTAAGCACATGAAACACGGCCAGTCCGAAGTGAGATCTGCAGTGTTGAGGTGGGGTAGACAGAATCCTAAAATGACCCCCAATGACCCTCCCTTCTCTCTCTATAATCTCTTCCTTATGTTGGTGGAATACCATAAATGTGTGTTCTACCACAAGAGGGAGACTGCCATGGTGGGCATGATAATTATTCGAGCCTTTAGAAAGAGATGTTTTTCTCTGGCTGGTTGTAGAAAAGAAAGTCAGCACTCTAGCTTCCCTGGAAGAAAGCAATGAAAGAAACCCCTGAAATGGGACTGGGGATTTAGCTCAGCGGCATAAGCGCCTGCCTTGCAAGCAGGCAGTTGTGAGTTCGATCCCTGGTACCGATAAAAAGGAAAAAGACAAAAAAAAAAAAAAAAAAAAAAAGAAACCCCTGAAAGAAATCTGTGAATTATCTATGGAACCATGTCACAAGGCAAGGAAATGCATGTAATTTCCAGGATCTGCTACTGGAGGCCAGCAGACAGCTAGCAACAAAAAGGGACCTCAGTCCTATAACCACAAGGCACTGAATTCTGCCAACAATGTGTGAGCTTAGAAAAACAAAACAAAACAAAACCCTAACTCCAAAGCAAAACTTCAACCCTAGCCAACACCTCAGCCCTAGCCTGGTGAGACCCTTACTAGTAGAAAATCTAGCCAAGCTGATCCCAGACTTCTGACCTAGTGAGATGATAAATCTGTGTTGTTAGAAGCTGCTATATTGTGGCAATAAAAACTAGTGTATTGGATTTCATAGGCTTAGTATAAAAATAAATATATAAATACCTCATTAATAGTTTATGGCTTCATATTGAAATTATAACATCTTGGTTATTTGGGTTAAGTTAAGTACATTATTGTTTCATTGCACATTCTTAAAATGGTGGTATTATAAGAAAATTTCTAATCACATAGGCTGCTCACATTATATCTACCAGATAATGCCGACATAAGGGGCTCTCAGAAGGCTGCCGTATGACTCCAGAAGGCAGCTGTGCTCACCACCATGCCACCAATGCCACACAGCCATCTGACTTTGGGCATTGACGGATCTCAAACCTTACAGGACCAGTCTCACACAAACACCTCTGAACACCGTCAGTCCTGCAACTTGACCCAAAGAGAGTGCTCCATCCATTTTGGTAACTTCACTGCTATTTGTAACATGGTTTGTAAAGTCTCCTGCCAATCCTAGTTCTGGTCTCCAGCATTTTCTCCCCAACCTGCACACAGCTGCCACTTAAATGCTTGGGAAGCACAGTTTTGAGTTCTTTTTCCCTGTAACCCTCACCTCTCTTTTGGAGGTGGGAATCAGGGCTCCAGGAAGGGAATGACTCTAAGCCTCAGGGCAGAACGCCTCCCCATCGTGTTCACACTTCACAGCCAACCTGGGAAGAGCCAGACTTGAGCTGGCTGGAGCACAGCTTCAGCACCCTGACACAAGTGCCCGGACCTCACGTGTAAAACACAGAGCACAGCAGCCTGTCCCCACCACGGTGGTCTCTGGAAAGACTGAGGTCCTGAAACCCTACTTGGTATACATTTAAACATTGAATTATGCAAACCATCATTACCTGCCCTAGGCCAGAGGATGACACCCCTCTCTACAAAGAGTCCCCGTTTCCTTAAAGGATCCAACCTTCTTAGGTCCCTGAACTAGGGGGATGCCTGGCTGTGAGGCTTCTCCAGACATCTCCATCCCCCACCGGAGTCAGGAATAGAAACCACCGCCTCCAGCAGTCCGCAGCCTCTCTCCCTTCCCCTGCAGCGATCAATGCGGCCTCAGCCGCGAGGGACAGAGGAACACGAGGAAGGCGGGGGCTGCGGGGCCTCCACAGCAGCGAGGCGCGGCCAGGCCGCAGTGGCAGACTAGCCCAGCCGCGGCCAGCGCTTCCCCAGCCTCAGCGCCTTTGGGGACAGACGTGCAAGCAAGCGCGCCCAGGAGGAGCCCAGGCAGGTAAGTGGCCTCCCTTTGGGAGGGGTGTGGTCAGTCTGTGAAAGCAGGAGATAGAGTCTGCCTGGGGTTCCAGGTATCTTGCCCCCTCCCCAGGAGACCCCCCAAGAAAAGAGCATGGTAGGATAGCCCCGCTTTGGGGAAACTGGGGCTGGTCCTGATTGTCCCTCTGTAAAATGAGGCTGGGAAACCTCTCTGGATGAGATTAGGGTTTAAACAAACAGATAGCTAGCTTAGACAAAAGAAGGTAGTAGGTGCTCAGAATAAGTGTCAGCAAAGTCTTGTAGAGAAAGCCTACTTTGGATTCTTAATTGGGTGATAGGCTGACTGAGTGATTTTGAGCAAGTCAATCTTTCTTACTGATGTTCAAATTCTTGTCAGGAAATGTTTGCTGAATTAGTGATTCCATTTCATAGAATGGAAAATAAGTTCCAGAGACAGGTGAAGGGACTGGTTGGAGACCATGCTTCTAATGGGTGATGGAAGTGGATCAGAAACTGTTATCTTTGGTGCCAGATGCAGGCAGAGAGTGGAGCTGCATCTCACACATTTATTGGGCACCGTAGATGCTGAAGACTGCATTGCCAGCAAACACTGCATCACTTAATCCCCATAGCTTGTCCCATGGAAAGTATAATGTTACCCAGTTTTCACATAGGGTAACTTACGCTCAGAGGAGGTCATGGATCCACTCAAGGTCAATAGCTAGTAAGTGGCAGACTCAGGCTGAACTCAGGTTTCATCAGATGGAAAAACAGCCAATTAACATTTCTGGAGCACCCACTGTGTTCCAAGGGTTTTGCACACATACTCATGATAACAATTTATCCAAAGAGCCATTACCAGGGGCTGGGGATTTAGCTCAGTGGCATAAGCACCTGCCTTGCAAGCAGGCGGCCGTGAGTTCGATCCCTGGCACCGGAAAAAAGGAAAAAAAAAAAAAAAAAAGAGCAAAGAGCCATTACCCCATTCTAGAGACAAGTAAGCTAAAGCCTGGAATGGAAGGCTGGCCTGGAGATACACAAGTCACAGAGGTAAGGATGGAATCCCAACCCACTGAACACCAAGCTTAGGTTTAGTGAAGGGCACCTGAGCTCTGGGGTTGATGTATACTCTGTGCACACCTGGGCTTGTTCCTGGACCTGCGAACTTTCTACCACACCAGCCGTCTACACGTTCTTGGGTCAGGAGGTGAGTCACCAGCCCTCAGTTCTAGTAAAGCCGAGAGCCAAGAGTCCTACTCAGTGGAAGGACCCATGTTTCCTGAGTATTCAGTAAAGCAAAGCACTTTCCATAACCTGCTTTACACTTCCAGCCATCCTTGGGGATAGGAGCTACTGTCTCCATGTGAAGTATGTAGGAGACTGACTCCTAGAAAGGAGATCTCTCACTCAAGGCCCAAGATGCACTAAGAGCGGGGTACAACCTAGGTTTGCCTGACTTAAGAAGACAGTAACATAGGTGGATAATCTAATAAACTCCTTCTGTAAGCCAGGCCCACAGAAAACATTCGGTAATGTAATCATTTCAACAATGCTTCCAGATGGATATTTTTTTTTAAAAAAATCTCCATTTGACAGAGATTTAGAGTGCCCAAGGCCACAGTACAAAGCCAAGGTTCAAGGTCAGGTCTGGCAGATTCTACAGATGCCTTATATAGTTGAACCCCTGTAGCTCTCAAATTTGAAACATATCTGAATCACCCGCCAGGCCTCTTAAAACACAGATTGCTTAGCCCCAACCCAGAGTTTGGCAAATTGGGGGGGGGGGGGACGCTGAGAATCTGCATCTTTGACAAATTTCCAGGTGATGCTGATGCTAATATCCAAGGAACACACTTTGAGAACATTGGTCTAAATTGATTTTCTTAAAATCCTAGGTGGCAAGCATTACACGCTCCATTTGAAGTGAAGAAAACTGAGATTCAGAGTGCTGGCATGTCCAAGACGCCACAGTAGGTCTCTGATGTACCTAAACCCCTGTTTGTCTGTGAAAAGGTGACGTCCCACATGAGCACCCAGCAGATCTCAAGCCGTCCTGACCCTCTCACCCTCTCATAACCTTGCCAGGTAGAGTTCCCCATTCGTTTTCCGCTGGAGAAAATGAAATGGAAACGGGGAGGATCTGTGATTTGAACAAGTCCCCAATTGAGGGTGGGAGATATTCAAACAAAGGCCTGAGCTGAGTTCAGAGGCCACTTGCCATCTACTGAGTAGCCCCTCCACACCAACCACTTCACACAGGGCCCCCAAAATGCCTGACTGGGGAACGGGGCCGCGGATGTTAACCTGTTCTTCCTGGAAAGGAGGCTGGGAACCTACCTCCATCACTGTCCCCCTCAGGTGTCTGCAAGAGGTCCACTGTAGCCATGGTGAGGGAGACCTCGGGGCCGCGAGTCGGGGCCCCCTGGCGGCGAAAGGACGAGGCGCTGCGCGTGAACGTGGGCGGCGTGCGACGTCTGTTGAGCGCGCACGCACTGGCGCGCTTCCCGGGGACGCGGCTGGGCCGCTTGCGCGCCGCGGCGTCGGAAGAGCAGGCGCGGCGCCTGTGCGACGACTACGACGCGGCGGCGCGCGAGTTCTACTTCGACCGGCACCCGGGTTTCTTCCTGGTCCTGCTACATTTCTACCGCACCGGCCGTCTGCACGTCCTCGACGAGCTGTGCGTCTTTGCCTTCTGCCAGGAGGCCGACTATTGGGGCCTGGGGGAGAACGCGCTGGCCACGTGCTGCCGCGCGCGCTACCTGGAGCGGCGCGTGGCGCGGCCGCGAGCCTGGGACGAGGACAGCGACACGCCGAGCAGCGTGGATCCGTGCCCCGATGAGATCTCAGACGTGCAGCGAGAGCTGGCGCGCTACGGGGCTGCGCGCTGTGGCCGCCTGCGTCGCCGCCTCTGGCTCACCATGGAGAACCCGGGCTACTCGCTGCCCAGCAAGCTTTTCAGCTGCGTCTCCATCGGCGTGGTGCTCGCCTCGATCGCTGCCATGTGCATCCACAGCCTGCCGGAGTACCAGGCCCGCGAAGCGGCGGCCGCTGTAGCTGCTGTGGCCGCGGGCCGCAGCGTCGATGACACGCGCGATGACCCCGTGCTGCGACGCCTGGAGTACTTTTGCATCGCCTGGTTCAGCTTCGAGGTGTCGTCACGCCTCCTGCTGGCACCCAGCACGCGCAACTTCTTCTGCCATCCGCTCAACCTCATCGACATTGTGTCGGTGTTACCCTTCTATCTTACACTGTTGGCGGGCGCAGCGCTGGGGGACCGGGACGGCGGGAGCGGCGAGGAGCTGGGCGACCTGGGCAAGGTGGTGCAGGTGTTCCGCCTCATGAGAATCTTCCGCGTGCTCAAGTTGGCGCGCCATTCCACCGGACTGCGCTCCCTGGGTGCCACGCTCAAGGTAGGGAGTCTGAGGAAGGGTTGGAGTGGGCGGAGGCAGGTGAAGGCCCAGAAATGTTAGTAAGTGAATTTGAAAGCCTAATACATCCACTGAACTGAATACCATCCTTGGGGCCAGAGCTAAAGACCAGGTGTATATTTCAGCCAGCCTGATCTTCCCATCACCCTTATAAAGACGGGTTTAGTCTTTATAGTCTCTCTTTCTCAAGGAGAAAATCGAGGTGTAGCTTTGCTTATCTCTTTAAAAATATCACTTTCGATGTAACTGGCAAACATCAAATAATAAGTACACAAAAATATACAAAGAAAAAACATACAGAACAGGATGTAAACTTGCTCCTTTGCTGATGCCTTTCTTTTGTCTCTAGCAGAGGGCATTGATAGCCACAGGTCACTCTGAATAGGCTAAGTCTAGGAATAGCCCTGGAGCTAACCCTGAGCAGAGATATCCGTGCCAATTTCACATCCATTATCGATTCAGTCCTTAGGACAACATCCTCAGGAAGGTGGTGTTATTTATTTTCTTCCCGTAGATGAACATCCTGAGGTTGGAGAGCTGGGTTTTTAAAAATCTAGTTGCAATTTATTGAGCACCATCTTTGTGCCAAGCCCTGCATAGGGGATGAAGTTACATTGGCTTGGAGAGGAAGGCTATGTGAAGAGCTTGTTCCAAGGCCTGGTAAGAGCACAGGTTGAGTGCTGGCGCAAGGGCACAGAGGGAAGGTGATGCCAAGAAATAAGGTTGAAGAGGTGCCTGGTTCAAGGTACTGAAGGGCATGAACTCTTACGTTTCATTTTATCCCAAGTGCATAGGGGATCCAGTGTAAGGTTTAAGCAAAGGCAAGTATTGTTATTACTTGGCAGGTGTAGGGGTTAAGGTTCCAGAAGTGGCAGGACTTGTCAGAGGTTTTCAGTAGGGGAGCCTGACTTTTCATAGTCTTTCTCCCAAAGCTCCATGCAGCCCTGCAAAGGGTCCCTAGAAAGGTGCATAAAGTTCCCTTCACTCTTTTAGAAAAGCCTATTGTATGCCCTTGTGGCAAGTAGCCAGGATATCGGGTGCCAGCATGGAACCTAGGCAGAAGCCTAAGCACTGGGAAGGTTCAGAGAATTGTTGGCCAGACCTGAGTTCAGCATCTCTCTAGGGAAGATTCTTCTGCCTCAGAATCCTGCCTTTCCTCCACCATGCAGAGAATCAGAGCTGAAGGCTGCACTACCAGCTTTGTCTGAGGAAGGAAGAAGAGTAATGACTGGAGCTATTAGGATCAAGATACTGGTATAAGACACTCCACTCAAAGTGAAGCCCAGACCAGCAACAACTTTCTTAACACCTGGAAGCTTCTAGAAAGCTAGACTCTAGTCCTACCCCAGACCTACTTAATTGGGTTCTGCCTTTTAAGCAAGATCCCTATGTGATTCCTCCACGTATTATAGTTTGACAGATTTCAGGTGCTCAGCTTGGCACTGTGGACATTTGGGGCCAGATCATTCTTAGTTGTGGGGCCTATCTTTTGCATTGTAGGGTATTACATCATATCCCCAGCTTCTACCCAGTGAATACCAGTGGCATATTGTTCCAGTTGTGACAACCTAAAATGTCTCTGGATAATGCCAGATGTCCCCAGGGTGGCACAACTACCGTGTTGGAGAGCCATTTCCCTGGAATTTGGCCTCAGAGGTGCACACAATGTGTGCATCCATAAAGAATGCATCTAGGGGGGGAATTTGTGGTGTCAGATCCTCTTGACTACCTTGAAGGGCAGAAAATATGTTTGTCTTTTAAGAAATGTGACAGACCATTCAAAAAGTACATGAATTATGTAAACTGTGATTTTGGAGCTGTATAAAAATCACAGGCTATTTTTGTCATTGCCTGATGCTACCAGGATCCCTGAGTTAGAGGAAACAACTGTGGCCTAGCAGCCATGTTGGACAATAGAAACTATTGTTTGACCCCAGGGAGTTTCATTTCCTGCTGTAGTTGGAAGATCTTAGTTCAGAGCCAAGGCACCTCGGTCTTGGTATCAGCTCTACCTTTCCGTGTGACTTTGGACCTATCTTTCCTACTCTCTGGCCCTTAGTTTCTCCATATGCCTGCTATCAGTTGTATAAGCCCACCTACCTCTGACTTGGGTTCCTACCTTTTCCTCCAGCACAGCTACCGTGAGGTGGGCATCTTGCTGCTGTACCTGGCCGTGGGTGTATCGGTGTTTTCCGGTGTGGCCTACACAGCTGAAGAGCAGAACATAGGTTTCCACACCATCCCAGCCTGCTGGTGGTGGGGCACCGTGAGCATGACCACTGTGGGCTACGGGGATGTGGTGCCGGAGACAGTGGCCGGCAAGCTGGCAGCCTCTGGCTGCATCCTAGGCGGCATTCTGGTGGTGGCACTGCCCATCACCATCATCTTCAACAAATTCTCTCATTTCTACCGGCGGCAGAAGGCTCTGGAGGCGGCTGTGCGCAACAGTGGCCACCGAGAGTTTGAGGACTTGCTGAGCAGCGTTGATGGAGTGTCAGAGGCATCTCTGGAGACATCCCGAGACACCTCTCAGGAGGCACGGTCTGTAGACCTGGAGACTCAGGCCCAGGGTGAGCCTCCCAATGCTCAGAGTTATTAAAACTAGGTCTTTGCATCGCCTTCTACCCCAAGTCAGCTGAAACAGAGCAGATCCCTCACCTGCTTGAGCTCTCATGGGAGTGATCCTCTTGGGACCATTCTCACTGGCCTGAGAAATGAGACCCAAGGGGCCACACACCTTCCTCCAAAAGCCCAGAGCAGAGACTGCTGCATCATATTCTGTGAGTCCACAGAACAACTCAGACAGTTTTCTTAACCAATCTCCAAGCTACTCATGCAGCAGACATGAGCCAGAGGGAGAAAGAAGAAGGATGCTGATGATTCTGAGCACCTTCTGTGCATTGGCTGTCTTTGGCCCTGTGTTGGAAGATGAGAATCATCTGCCTTTTCAAGCCAGGCACAGTGGCACACAATTGTAATCCAACATTTGAGAACTGAAATAGGGCTGCAAGTTCATAGCAAACCTGGGAAACTCAGTGAGACCCTGTCTTGAAATAAAATTTGTAAAAAGGACTGGAGATGCACTCAATAGCAGAGTGCTTGTCTAGTATATAAAAGGCCTGGTTTCAACTCTCAGTACCAAAAGAAAAAAAAAAACGGTATCCTCAATTCACAGATGTGAAAACTGAAGCTCTGAAACGATAAGGTACCCAGACATCTCAGGACAAGAAGTGGTAGAAGGCTGGGGATATAGTTCAGTGGCACAGTGCATACCTGGCAAGTGTGAGGTTATGAATTCAATTCCCAATACCAAAGGAAAAAAAAAAACAATAACAACAACAAAAACCCATGGTAAAATCAGGTCTGGAATCCATGGTTGTGGTTTGCTAAAATACATTCCATCCACTGTCTTTCCTACCTTCACACAGTTTGCATATGATTTTAGCAGTGTGTAGATCCACAAACCTGATCCATGGAGTGAGAACCTCTGTCAGAATAAGGGAGAGGAACAAACAAGATTCAAACATAAGCGCTCTGGACCTTAGCCCTGGTTGTTTTCTAGGTAATTCTGGAAGGAGTCAAAGATGAGTCTGGGAGGATGGAAAAGGAAGCAGTCACCTTAGTTCATGTGCAGAATTTCTTGAGCTGAAATCTTCTGCACCTTCATCCTAAGGCTGAGTGGAGATACACAAAATCTGAAGGGGCCTCGGCCTGAGGTCCAGACACAGTTCTGGATCTGCCTATGTGAAGTAGCCAACCCCTAACCCATCCCCAGAGCTCAACCCACCTACTACATGGTCACAATCTGTGCTCCAGAAGGAGGTGGAAAAGCCAAATAGGGCAGAGGAGGCACTGACTTAAAGACAGCTCAGCTCTGAAATGCTAGTGGCAGGGGCTGCCATCCATGTGCTCCCCTTCTGGCAGTCCCCTTCTACTCACCACACAGACCACCACCCCTATCTTCCGCAGCCATCCATCCAGGCAAATGCTGGAGACTCCTATCCCTCTTGGCAAACTCTGGCCCTGCCGTCTATACTGCCAGTAAATCTTTAATACTCCTCTGCTAAAAGCTTCTGTTCATGTGCTCAAAAAGTCAGGAAGGGTCCATGGTCCTTTCCACATACCATGGCTGGAGCATCCATGACCAATGTCATTGTGACCAGATATGACTTAGTTGTCCCATCACACTGAGCTTTGAAATGGAAGACATTGGCTGACTGATCCTTATGCTTAGAGCAAAGTAGGTATTTACTACATTTTGAGTTAGACTGACCAATTCCTATAGTCTACTGTGTGCCAAGCACCAAAAGGAAAGAAGAAATGCCGAGTGAGAAACTGAACAAGCCCTCTGACTCTCCTGGACCCCGCTTAATTTTTGAGCTTTTGCAGTGGCTCCATTGTAGGTTCTTCACTCATTCAAAATATCTCTGTTGGAAGAGTTGTAAAAAGCTGGGACCTAACATGTGGCCTGCAGACATGTTTCATTTAGCTGAATGGTAATTTTAGAATACTTTTAAACTGGGACTGACTTTAAGACATGCAGTCTCCAGTTCCGCATACCATCCCCCATCCCATACACACACATACACATGTGCTGCAGCTACCGTGTTATGACCAATGTCATAGATTTACTTTATACACTCAGCCTCTGATTTATTGACAGCTTACTAGCTTCAAACAATACAATGGACAAAATATGTATCGGTATTCATTAAGCTCCTCAGACTAGTAAAGAAGACAGACTCTAATGCAAGAATTCCAGGTGCATATAATAATGAACTCTATTAAGTGCAAGGAGCTAACTATAAGCATGTATAATGTACCAGGAACCGTTCCCTAAGATCAGAGATGGCTTTCATGAGCAAGTGACCTCATAAAGGCAAATAGCCAAGAAGGTAAAGGGGGTTCCAGGAGCAGTATTTCGAGCATTAGCAGAAGTATATGTGAAAGTCTTGTGTTTGACAACACTATTACAGCAAAGGCAAACCTTTTAGAGCCTTCAGTGATAACAGCCTACTGAAGCGTACATGCCATGGGTTCACCACTATTTCTACTAGGTAGCGGGCCCCAACATGGTTGGATTCCAAGACCCCAGATTGGAGCAGCAGCAGGAGTTAAGCCAAACGGACTCTCAGGAACTTAGCACACTCACCCCTGAATGTCTGGGCCAGCTGTGCACAGCTTTGGGGCAGACTTTCCAGGTGTGCATGTATCACTCCTATTATGTTACCTAAAACACAAAACCAGCTGGTTTCCAGACTTTCTGACCTCAAAACAAGCCCCCAAAGTTGGTGTGGTGACACCTCAGGGGAGACTCCTCTGGCATGAGTCCACCAAAAGGTTATGCATGGTCCTGAAAGAAATGCAGAAATCACTCCCACTCCAGTGTATCACTGAAAACCATTATGCAAATAAAAATGTGTGCCTCAAAACCTTCGTGGAGCTGGTTTTCTGATGTGTTCTCTGAGTGACTGGAATGAGAGGGCAATATGTGGAGTGATGTGGAACCCACAGTCTTCCTCCAGCCTTGAAATTGGCACAGGCTTTATCTGTGGTAAGGCTAGTCAGAACAGATTGCAGGTGACAGGAATCTAGTTGGAACAAAGTTGGCCAGAAAGGGTAACTCAGGCAGGAGGATTTCAAGTTCGAGGCCAGCCTGGGCAACTTAGTAACTTGGTGAATCCCTGTTTCAAAAAAGCATAAAATAAAAGTGCTGGGGATGCAGCTCAGTGTGGAGGCCTTGGGTTCAACTCCTAGTATAGAAAAAATGATAGTTAATAGATTAAATGACTAAAGTGATGAGTAATTATTACAATTAATACTAGAAACTAGCTTAAGCATAAAACAAATATATTGGAGAGTGTATAGTGACTGCCACAAGAAATTACCACAGAATACATGGCTTAAAACAGCAGAAATTTATTCTATTACAATTCCGGAGGCCAGAAATCCAAATCAAGATGTTGGCAGAGCCACACTCACTCTAGGAGTTCCAGGGGATAATTGTCTCCGTGCCTCTCTGCCTCTTGGCATTCCTTGGTCTCCCTGGGTTTGGTGGCTGCATCCCTCCAGTCTCTGCTCTGGCATCACACCTCATTCCCATTATGGTCACAAGACTGCAACTAGCGTTTATAACATCCTTTGTGTGTAGCAGATTCCTTCCTCAAGGGCAAGTGGAATATCCTTCAAGCAAGAGCTTCAGATCAGTAAACTAACTCAAGGCTGTGTGTTAAGTGATGATCTGTAACTTTCATGGTAGCTCCAATCAGGATCTTTTTCTAGAGCTCAAGTGTTTTAGGGTTTTTTTCTTCAGTTTTATTGATTATAAAACTCTAGCGGGTTGTGTTTGATTTAAACTCAGTGGGCCAACTACACAATGAGCTCTTGCCTTATTTAGAGGCTGCCAAGTAGCACAATGATCGTACCCACTTCTGAAGATGAAGCACTAACACCTGCCTCCTGCATCTGTTTTCTTCCTCCCCTCTGATCCAGGGAACTCGTTTCAAATTATAGCTCTTTCCTCAGCACACTCGCCTGACCTTGGCTTTCTTCAAAACAAGAGTAAAAACTAGGCTGAGTTCACTGGAGGCCAGAGAGGTATTTGTGGTAAGGAGTCACAAAATGGATCTGATCCAGCATCCTGTCTTTAGAAATCTTTTATTCCCTTCTGCTGCATAACGCCAGGGATTTGGGCCCTGTAAATTCCAGTTCATGTGGGCCAGCATTTGGTTCAGTTTGGCATTAGCCAGCTCGTCACATTGCAAGAGCCCAGCCAGCTTCCGGAGCACAGAGAAGGCAGGCTCTCTGGGAAGTGCATCCACATCAAGAAGATCAGTGTGATCCAAAATTCTATTTCCTCTCACTTGACAAACACCACAAAAATCCATTCATTACTACAAACACTTGCCAGATTTCTGATGGTATCAGTTAACAAATTTCTACAGTTCTAAATGGGCCCAAGATTCTTTCCTGTGTATTTTACTTTTCACCCTCCAAGCCAAACTGATCTTTCCCTTCCAGCTAAGCAGCCTTGAGAAATGGAGCAAGCAGAAAATTGTGCGCTTTCACCTGTAAGAAAGGTTGTGAGCTGCCTGCACCAGTGTTTTAGAGCAGCTAAAGTTTTTCTGCAGCTTCTCACACAGCCATTCTTCAGAATCCCGCTCTATCAGTGACTGACTTCCATAAAAGCACTGTGAGGTGGTGGATTTAATCACCTGCATAATCAATAGCCAACTTCGGTATTTGAAGAACTCAACCCTATAGCACATCATAAATGATTCTTTCACCATGGCCACATAAATTCCCTACATTTCTTTTTGTCCCCAAAAGTAACAATTACAATATTGTTCTATGTAGTTGCAAACAGAACATTCTATCACACAAGCCAGCATTTCTTGATTCCTTGAAATTGAACTGTGATAGGATACTGTCTCTTCTATAAGAACTACACTCTCAAAGTTTGAATGATGCCAAGTAATGTAAGAAGTAGTTCTTTATCATTGTATAACAGTCTTCTGATCTCTCACAGGCAACAACCTCACTGTGTTTTACCCAGTCACAATCCAACAATTTCGAATACCCCACATTTCCCAGAGGGTATATTTCCTACAACTCTAGTTCTAGTTTCTGATGTCAGGAATGGTTTGGCTACAAATGACAAAATGCACTGGACAGATAATGGAGAAGATCAAAATAAAAACATTTTAAAAAAGGAATGAAGGCCACAGAGAGATGAAAGCACTGTGGTTAGAATCAATGAACTATCTCCTTAGGATACTGTTATTAAAATACCTGAACAACACTTATCTCCATGTATCACTGTGCTGAAACTTAAAACCTTGAGGGAGAGATGAGAAGAACTATCTCAGTCCTGCCAAACACTGATGGCAGAGTGTAATTCCCTAAGGCAAAGTGAAACGCTTTTATCAGAACGAAAAGGAGAAGGAATATCAAGAAGGCAAAACCAGTATGTATCTTTTACAATACCACTGCACAAGGATAGTAGTTAGGTGGATGAGTTTAGCAACACAAACCAAGAACAAAAGAGGTCAGAGACAAAAAGATGAATGTTTTCATCACCTGGTAGATAGCAGTGTTACTAACATCTCCCAATTGTGTACCTTGTAGTACCTCCCCCACAGAACTGTTCCCAGTTTTAGTTTGGAAAAAAAAGTCCATGACTGGCCCAGCTCTGGCAAGGTGACTGGCTCACTAAAAGGGGTTGGCACGGAGCTCGAGTTGGTAAGAACTTGGCAGCTATCATGTGAGCTCGTGGTTGGTGTGAGAGTCGAGCAGTTCCAGAAGGGAAGGGAGTGTGGGACAGACCCACAACTAGCCCTTGCAGTCTCTCTCCCTTGGGGCCTCAGTTTATTTTCTATAAAATGAAGAGATGTCCAGAAACTTCCAGGAGTAATTGGTGTCCTGGGCCTGAAGCCTACAAATCAGGATGTTTAGGGCTCTAGAAGGTGGTGTGCTGTCATTGATGATGGGGACACTTTGATAGTTTCTATTGCTGTGACTTGGGGTGGGGGCCTTGCTGGTGAGTGATTAGATATAAAACCTGCTCTTGCTCAGGACCATATTGCTGAGCTGAAAACAGATCCAGAGAAGTTCAAGTTGCACAAGAAACTGATTATGATTCCTGTCTTTGAGAATATTTTAGCTCAAATAGAGCAAGGAGGATATTCACATAGGAAAACAGGTGTGGGAGAGAATCATTTTGACTCCTAAGGTACTTTTTGAGGTTCCCAAGAGTGAATAGTCCAGTAAACAATAATAACCACCTTCTACTTGTCTGTGGCCTTCTAATTTACAAAATGTTTCACATTTATTATTTCATAAACTCCTTGCACCAGCCCTGTAAGACAATAGCTACAATGATAAACTAGTGTCACCAGTATTGAACAGTTAAGAAAACTAAGGCCCACAGCCAGTTAGAAAGTAGTGGATTAGGGATTCAAGCTCAGGCTTCCTAACACTGGAATGCACTCCTTTTCTACCATCATTGCCATTCTTTACACTATTTGGCAACAACTCTGGGACCACTGAAGGAGGTGGCTTTGAAATGTAGGTCTTGTTTTGAGTTTCTTCTCTTCAGGCTCTGGACACGGCTCTTAGGTGCTGGCAGCCAAGGTCCTCAGTGACTCAGGCCAGCCAGGCTTCGTGACTGAATGTAGGAAAAATTCACTAGGAGGCTTAGTAAAGTGAGCAACTAATCTTTGAGAAGGAAGGAAGGTGACTTTCAGAATCCTGTTTGAGAGGAAGTAAAGGAGAGGACCAGGGTAGACTGGTGTTGGGCAGTGTCCAGGGCCTGGGTTCAGAACCCTCAGCAAATTCAAAGGAGAGGAGGAGTTGCACACAGCTCGATATTAAAGTTAGGCTTGGCTTCATGTATTGACCCAGCCAGTTAATGGCTTGCATTGGACCTGCTGGCCTCTAAGGGGCACCACCCAGGAGAAACCTCCCACTAACATCTAACGCCCTCCCTTATCTTTTCTTACATAGATCAGGAAGGAATCTTTCAGTTACAAGTGACAGAAACTCAACAAAATGGCTTACATATAGGGGGGTCCAGAGGCTCAAGTGAGGTCATCATCTCCCTCTGCTGTGCCTCTCCTGTTTGGCTTCATTCCAGGCAGCGGTTTATTAAAAATTACTTGATGGGAGAACATAAGGGATGCCATGTAGACAAAGAATATGGCTGAGGCCAGGAGGACTTTGGCCTGAACCTCTAGTGCTTGAGTAGGATGTTGGTTGGGTTTCTTTGTCTCTCTGAACCTGTTTCTACACTTATTTCTGAGTATTAGTGTTAAGTTCAAGTGTGATATGCCTGGAACTATAAATACTAAATGTTAGACAAACCAAAAAATGCACAGGAAGGAAAGAAATCAGCATCCTCCTCTAGTGTTCTTATTTGCCTCAGAGAGGTAAAGCAACTGAGCAGAGGTTGTAGTTTGCTTCTCTCCCAGTTGCAAACCAGACCTGCTCCTGGACTTGAGGCCACAGAAGGAGGACCAGGGATTTGAGTCTGGCCTTGACACTGCCAGACCGTGGGCCACTGATCATTCACCAGACCAAGGGGCTGAGATAAATGCTAGTGGACTAAGAGGAACCACCCCTTATATTTGTACATAGCTGAGTAGTTTCCTATCCACAACCTCAGAGGCTTGCAAAAAGAATCCATTGGAGTAGAATGTCTTTGTTTATTCAAGTGTAAAATACACGCAGGAGAAGACTCTTAAGAGATCGCCTCGGTGGATTTTCCCACTGTGAGCATCCCTATGGAATGAACACATTCCAAGTTCTAGTGCCCACCCAAGAAGCACTGTTCACACTCCCAGCCTGTCACTACCTCGAAACCTCCCAAGGTGAGTTCCTGACCTCAGGCATGGATTAGCTTGCCTTGGTTTTGAATTTTATACAAATAGAATTATACATTAAATTTTTTTATGTGTCTCTGGCCTTTTTATTGTGGTAAAATATAAATTTCTTCAATGAATCCCTGTTTAGTATACAGTTCTGTGGCATTAGGTACATTCACATTACAGTCCAGACGTCAGAATCACCCATCTTTAGAACTTTGATATCTTCCCAAACTGAAACTCTATTAAACACTAATTCCCCCTTCCTCTCCCCTGTTGGCAGCCACTACTATACTACATTCCATTTGATTACTCTAGTTATCTTAAGTAAGTAGAATCATACATATTTGTCCTTTTGCAATTGGCTTAACTACTAGCATATGTCTTTGAGGTTTATGTGTGTTGCAGCCACGTGTCCGAATGTTCCTTTTAGAAACTGAGTAATGTTCACATATAACATTTTATTCAGTTCATCCATCAGTGTTTGCCTTCATTCTGACATTTGACTCAGTCATACTGATATAGAGCAAGCTATACTAGTAGACAATGGCCAGCCCACATCCTAAAGTAGAATTTCGACCCACAACCTGCAGCAACCTACTCAGTAAACCAACTCCATATCCACAATACACATCCCAGGAGGCCAGGCTGCTACTGGTCAGACTTACAGGAAGCCAGATTGCTATCTCCAGTGACAACTGAAGAAGCTGTAACATTTGGTCCAGAATGGCCAGGATTTGATTAATAATTGATATATTTCTAAATTTTTGTTCCTTCTTCTAATTTAGAACAAACAAAAGAAAGCCAGATGTACCAAGCATGTGTGAAGTCCTGGTTCTAGTTAGCTCGCCTATAGCTTTCCTATGCCAGCAGCTTCCAGTGCAGACACACCTGTAATCTTCCCTTTCACCCACTGTGGAGCTTCTCCACTCCTCTGCCTGCCGAGGTGCAAGTTAATACTGGCTGATTCCCTTGGGATGGAAGGCCCTGTGATTCTCCCCTTTGGTTAGTCTTTAGTTCCATAGTAGCTGCAGTCAGTTCTCAGTATGGTATTCTATTATACCAATTCATGTAACTTACTTATCCATTGTACTATCATTAGGCATCCAGATGGTTTCTAGGCAAAATGATGAATAATGCTGCTCTGGATAGCAGAACAGCATTATTCATCATGGATAGTCTTTTTATAAAAAAATATATAATCTCTATTGTGGAATTACTGGGTCATATGTATACTCATCAGTATGGAGGGTTCAGTTGTTCCACATCCTCACCAACACTTAAAATTCCTGTCACTTCCATTTTAGCCTTAGGGTAGGTGTGTAGTGGTAATGTATTATAGTTTTAATTTGTTTCTGATGTTTAAAGTTGAGCACTATTTCACAAAAACATGGCACTTCTGGCATGGGGGTGCACACTTGTAATCCCAGCACTCAGGAGGCTGAGGCAGGAGGATTGCTCCAAGTTTGAGGCCAGACTGGCCTACAATGTGAGTTCAGGGCCAGCCCGAACTGCATAGCGAAATCCAACCTCAATACACAAAAAAGAAAAACACGCCAGTTCCTCGCTTCTCCATCTTATCAAGGTTAATACACCCACTCCCAGGGACCACAAGGCTCTGCACACTCACGTTTTCACCTACCTGAGAGTGCTGTTCCAGCCACACAAGCTATTCTTCCACCCACTTTTTTCCCCTTGCCTCAGGGCCTTTGCTTTTGCTGTTCCTTCAACCTGCAATGTGCATCTTCCAGGTTTTACACCTGGCTGGCTCCTTCTTGTCATTCTGTTCTCCTTTGAAATATCATCTCTTCAGGGCCTGCCCAGATCACCCTATGTAAAGCTCGCTCTCTCTCTCTCTCTCTCTCTCTCTCTCTCTCTCTCTCTCCCTCTCTCTCTCCACACTCAATTCTATACCCTGTTTTACTCCCTTTATAGCACATTTTCTTTCTCTGTATTACATGTTATCTAAGCTCTATGAATACAACAGTTACAAATTAAACCAATCTTGGTGTGTTCTTCTTGCAGTAATAAGTCAAAAATCATAAGCACTGCCACCTTTGATGATGTGATTTTCTGAAATAAAGAACATCTCTTGGAAACGCCACAAACAAAAGAAACTGCACCTCTCCATTTCCACATATTTTATTCTTAGAAAACTAATCGTAAAATCTCATATCATTATTTTACTTTTAGTTGTAAAGAAAACTAATGGTAAAATCTCCTATCAGTATTTTACTTTTAGTTGTAAATAAACTTTGGTTTGGTCTCAGGCAAGTTTTTCACCAAAGAAACCTTTGATGTCTTGCAGAAATATCCCAGCATGCAGTGCGGGGCCTCCAGCACTGCCCACTAATGCTGGTAGGGCCCTCAATTGTTGTCAGAAACATCCCCATGCATTTCCAGAATGAATCCGGTGGGCAGTACTGCATCCTGAGAATCACATTTCTACAGAGAGGCTACACTACTATACACCTGAGTCTTTGTGAAAACATGAAGTAACCTAAAAGGCTCTGCACTGGAAGTATGATACACTAAGTGCCAATACACGTAAACTCACTTCATCCCTGCTTCTTTTGGTCATAAATTCTTAACCAGTAGAGAATATCTCTTAGCCCTGGCAACAACTGAGAGTTATGCAGACAGGCTGTGGAATTATTAAATACTATAGAGCAATTTGACTGAAGACATCTACACTTACTTTTTCCTTCCCTGCTTCAGAGAAAACCTTTAAGACTAAGAGAGTCCAGGGTCAGGCTGGGGAATTATTTCTAGAAAAGGATAAGCCATACAAGTGTGGGACCCTGGTGCTCCACTCTGACTGCTGGGTCATACCTGGCCTTATCCAACAGCAGACAGGGATGGCAGAGTCCAATGTCAGGCTCCCGATGATCCTACATCCTACATTAGATTCCCACCCCAGGCTCTTTGTCCAGGCTGGGCCTTCTGTTCAGGATATTTTCTCTCCCTTAATTCCCACTCTTTATACATTTGGCCTTCTCTTCCTTGTTTTTCAAGGTTCAGGATAATACTCCCTTCTGCAAGAGCACTGATTATCATTTACTCTTCTGTGTCTCCACAAGCAGCGCGCTTCCTTCTCTCATTGGATTTCCAATCGTGTGTGCTTTTGCACTTGACTGACGCCCGAGGTGCCCTACAATAACTGTCTCTCACTGCTGACAAGCTTTATCCCTGACACACAGCAGGTGTCTAGCAAAAGTTTACCACTCTCTGTCCAAGCTTTGGACCCTAGAATAACAGTATACATTAGTGTCACAAAGGTTCACACCATGAAGCAGGCATGTATATGTTTAGGACTTCATTGTTAAGGACAGGAGATCTGTGGTCCAATGGACAGTTTATTTAAAACAAAGGTTAACAAAGTATAGAAAGAAAGAGGAGAGATAATAACAAATCTAACATAAAAGTAGGAAGCATCTCGATTTTTTTTAAAAAAGAAAATAAAAGGCAATGGAGGAAGCTATGTCTCATACATATACAAACTGCTGACCTCAACTAATTATTTACATCCTAACCTTACAAAATAGCATTTCAAGTCAGCATTTAAGCCAGTGTTATTAGTTTTTGTTACAAAAAAAATTAAAGCTACAAACTTCACATTTTAAATTGTACATCAGCAACAGCATTTAAGCCTTTTTTTTTTAAACCCAAGTTGGTTCCGAGTGCAAGCTGGTGAGTTTTTTGCCAAACACAAACAAGAACATGGATTCCAAAGACAATGAATACAATCTTGAGGAAACAAACATAGTGCTAAGAAAGCACAGGGTGCAGTGGGGAGTCTGGATTGGACAAGAACAACTGCCCCCCAAGTAAGGAGCTGCAATCTTTACAGGCAACATGGTATGTTGGAAAGGACACTGGGTAAGAACCAGAGGACCTGGATCTAGAGCCCGGCTCTCCTATATTACAGTGACATGGCCTCGAGCAACAGACTTTGCCTCTCTGAGCCTCTGTTTCTTCATCTGAAAGCCATCAAGTTTCTGTAGATAAAGGCTGTTTGGAATATCTATTTTTCTTAAGAGTGTGCTTTGGTAATTTGTATGCTTCCAAGAATTGGTCTATTTCACTGTTGAATGTATTAGCAGATTCTGTTATCAGCCTTTGAATAACTACAGGACCCATAGTGATATCATCTCTCTTATTTCTTTTCATCAGTACTGGGGATCAAACTCACAACCGCACGCTTGCAAGGCAGGCGCTTATGCTGCTGAGCTAAATTCCCAGCCCTTACTTCTCCATCTATTTTTTTTCTCTCATTTCTAATACCAAACTGGGCTATTGAATTTTACATGTTTTATATGCAAATTTATGGCATTTCATAGGTGCTCTCAAATGTTTGCTGGTTAGAATCTATAGTTTCAAAGAGACAAGTCTACAGGTTATGAATTGCTTCAGGATCTTGGACAACCGGTTCATTCTATATATCCTTCTATCCATCCACCCTTCTCCTTGAGCCAAATTTTCAATTCAATTGGTAGTTGGCCAAAGGAATAAAAAGAAATAAAAATAGAAATATGCTTCAAATTTACTATTGGGAGAGCAATTAAGATATTTTTAGAGACTATAGGATTTTTTAAAAGATGCAATAGGTGTGGGTCATCGTTTCTTGAAACTACAGAAAGCCTCAATGCTCTGAAGTTTGAAACATACAACCTTAAGCTCAATGAAACCTGAAATATCTTGAATTTAGCATTTAAGGAAAACAAGACAAGGACTTGCTCCTCTACCTTTCTGTCACTAGAAAACAAATATATCTTGCCAGGAAATTCATCTGATTCAAAACAATTTGACTTCTGGCTAAAGGGCTCTGTCTAGCTAGACTGATAAGTAATGCACTTGCTGGACCAGTATGTTGGGTTTACATATGCTTAAAACAAAATAACATCCAGACCAAGGTTCACAGCTCAAGAATATTTATGGGGGAAAACTGAGCTTTCCTTTACTTGAATCTTGCTTAGGAGAGAAGAAAGAGGCTTCTTCTTCTGGTCCCTTTGTTTAAAGAGAAAAGAGACTACGCAGAACTGTTAGCCTAGCAAGTGAAGTGGGGTATGCATGCTCAATGCTTGGTTTCTAAAACTTAGTTAGCTATCAGACCTATTAATTCAGCTATTTTCCAACCTAAAAATTCCACATGGAATTAGTCTATGCAAGAAAAGATGGTCACACTGGGGATATAGTTCAGTGACACAAGTGCCTGCCTGGCAAGCACAAGGTCCCAAATTCAATTCCCAGGACCAAAAACAACAACAACAACAACAAAGATGGTCATTTCATTTTAAACAGACTAGTGACTTTTTTCTGTCAGGAGTGTTCAACAGTTTTGACTTGCCCAGGCCACAATGAGTGAAGAGCCTTGGACCACATAAAAATATAAAATACAGCTAGGGATTTAGCTCAGCAGTACAGCGCCTCCCTGGCAAGCACAAGGTCCTGAGTTCAATTCCCGGTACAAAAAAAAAGTGAAAAAAAAAAATAGTTGGTGTATTAAGTAACAACAAAAAACTTTTTTAATCTGTTATGCCCGCTGGCTACAGGTTAGACATGGCTGCGTATGGCTGTGTACAGTAACGCTATGAATCCTGACTCTACCTCTTACTATATTGCCTTGGGAAAGAATATTTCTCTCCAAATCCATTTTCAAGCCTATTTTCAAAATGGAGATAAGATACTTACCTGCAGGACTATTATGAAATTTGAAGCCTACCAAGCCCAGGGCTTGGCATATAAGAGGTGGTCGATAAATGCTAGCTGCTATTTATTATGCCCTCTATTGTCCTCTATTTTCTTTATCAAACACATAGCTACTTCACTGGTTAATCTCTGAAGACCAACTACCTTTTGCATTTTTTAAAAACTGCTTTAATTGCAAAGAACAGAATCTGATCACAGAAGAACAACTATCCCTGCCTTTCCATTGATTCTCAGGTTTAGGGAGCAAAAGCAATTATGGAATCAAATTACAGTATTCTTTGTGTAACCTAGTCATGACTCCCCTATCTGAAGGGAGAGATATTAGAATAAAATAAAAACATACTTGTCTTTTCCAATTGTGTTCTCTGTTCCGTGTAACAAAGTATGGCTCTGAACCAAAGTTGTAGGAAGATAGCTTCATGCTATTTTCACGCAAAATCCTCTGTTGTGCTTCAGGCCCTAAATCTGCCTCCATGGGTGCTGGTCGGCTATTGTGCAGACACAGCAGAGCTCATAGACTCAGTGATATTTTTCTCTGGGGAATCTTTTCATAGCCAGGTCAACTAAAAAGTAGCAAGGCAAGAGCGGTTTCTATCAGCTGGGATCCCTGGGACAACCTAACCCAAATGGTTACAAATCTCTTTCCTCAGGAAAGGGGCTGCTCAGGTCAGTGTCCCAGGAGTGGAGCCCTGAGTTCCAAGCCCTGCCCCTACTATAACCCGGTTTGTGACATTGGCCATGTCACTTCCCTTCTCACAGGGTCAGACCAGATGATCATTATGGTCCCTTCTAACTCTGGCATTCTTTATGTCCAGACTGAGCATCCTAGAGTATTCACATTTATATTTCCAGACCTCTTAACAGTAAAAGAAAAAAGAAAACAGTCACATATTTAAATGTAGATTTTAAAAAGCAATGCCCTGTACCCGTTCCTAAGGAATGTGGAGCAGAATGCTACTTGTGTAATTTTTCACACGAACAAAGAGAGTTTCAAAATCCTTTTCTCCTGTGGACTGAACACAGTTCTGTGTTTGATGAGAGTTCCTGTTAACCCTGTCCCTCCACCAGATCACCTCTCCTCTTAAGGCACTGAGAAACATCTGTCAGGTGACATTAGGCAGTTGGGAGAGTGAAGATGGATGAAAGACACTGCAACAGTAAAGGTCAATTTGCAAAAAGAGTGCCAGGCTTCTCTTGGGACTCAAAAATCACACACAAATTCTCGAGGTGTTCTGGGCATCACTGTCAGCTCCAAAAGCCAGTGATGACCATGCACGGCTATACCATGTGGAAACCAAGCCTAATTTTTAAATGCAGCCCTACATGAGGGAGGTTGGCTCCTAGGATTCAGTGACCTGCAACAGGTTCCTGATGTCCTCAGCCCCCATGTTCCACAGTACCATAATCTTACAGAAAAGAGGTGAACTGTTCAAAACTGTACCTGTACAGAGATACCACCACACTGAGTGGGGAATCTATTTATAATTTATATATATATATATGTATATTTATATATTTTTAAAAAGTCTTCCAGAAAGAACAATCAAAAACTATTGGGAAAAGAAAAAAAAAACAACGTGAAACTTTCCCAGCTATCAACTAACAGTCTCTGTTTCTGGGGTTTAAAACTCTGAGTTAAAAGCGCCAACATAAATCTTTGAAATAATATACCTAATCCATGTAAATACACACATCAAGATGGCACAATGACCGTCAGTCAAGGTAGCCCTTCCCACTGGCGCACATTCCTGAGTTCACAAAGGTGTTGTGGAGAAATGACATAGCGTAAGTGCTGGCTGACAGACATGAGACGAGCAATCCAGAATTCACTAAAGTCCAGTGCTCCGTCTTGCTCAGAAATTTTGCTGTCGTCTCTTCTTAGCCTCAATGGCATCTAGGATTGGCTGCCGCTTGGACTGGTATTTCTGCCGAATCTCTTCAATCTCCTGCTCCATCATAGGGTCAAGAGCCACGAGCCTCTTCTGAAGGTCCTCCACTGTCCAACTCTTCAGCTAGAAGAGAAGTGAAATGCACAGTCACAAAAAAAGCACAGCCTGACAGCAGAAGAGCAGAGAAGCCTAGCCTTCCCGGGGGAAGGGAGACAGGAGGAAGATGCTGTCCACAGCCAAGCATGGGGTGGTGGTGGTTGGCGGGTGACAATCATTCTAATAAATGGCACAGCACAAAGCTGTTCTGAGACAGTTTATCTCTGGAAAAGTTCTAAGTACTAATGTTTTATTATTTAATGTAGCCTGACCAGGAACTCTGAATACCTCCATGTTCTCTATCCTTTAATAAAATACATGGTCACGTTACAGCACTAAAGTAACAGTAACTTACTGTATGCAGAGTAAGGACTGCCTCTTAGCTCATGAGAGGAGCACTACTAGATAGTACCTAGCTTTCCTTCCAGAGCTGTACCCCAGAAGATGGTACCAACTGAGAGTCAGATGCTCTCCTCTATCCCTGCCTTTCCACACCCTCAAGTCCTAGTATCATGTCCATTACCACTAATATCTACTGGAGCTAATTATATGTCGGACACCACTCTAAGTGCTATGTATAAATCACCCACATATGATGCTTATGCATGTGGACACAACTTTTGGGCAGTGGGAACTGGGGGGATGAGCTGGTTAGAAAAACCCTGAAACTTCTGAGATTAAGTTTCCATCAGGACTTTATACATAAATTGATAGTAACAGCACTTATATGTCTTTTATATGCCAGATGCTAAGTGATTTACATACATCGATTTGCTTAATTCTCATAACAAATGATACAAGTACATTATTAATCCTATGTTACAGATGAACAAGCCGAAGTGGAGGGTGGCTAAGTAACCTTCCCAATGTCTCGCAGCTAGTAAGTAGCAGTCAAGATTCAAACCCAAACAGGTATGGCTCCAGAGTCCATGCTCTTAACCAGCCCTGCAGAAGAACTAACAGAGACAAACCTCAGAACTCAGCCTGTATTTAACACATGGCTCTGCCTCTTGCTAATGTCATGAGACTGGCAAGTTTCCAATTTCTCAAGGCATTCTTAGCCACAGCAGCAAGACAACGATGTCTCATCTTGTCCATTATAAAAATTAAATGAGATCTGCTGCCATATGTGTGCAGCATGACCAGTCTTCACTGCCAGAGTTAGGAATGAATGCCAACATTATCCACAGCAGGTTGTGACACTTCATTCTGTAGCTCTTAAACAGTTTAAAAGGTACAGTGTTTCTAGAACTCAAAGGCCTATCCAAGTCTCACAAAAGCTCTGTTATGTCCACATTTATAAAACCATCATCTCCCTTAGCCCCTTTTGAGGCGTCAATGCTGAAGTGTTACAGAAAGTGGGTGGAGGAGGACCCCTCCTTTCCGCTTACCCTTCCTGAGGAGGTGGAGTATAAATGAGTACTGCAGTGGCTTCCCTAGAAATTCTGCAGCATGACCTGTCACCACAGGAATTTTCCTTGGCCACTCCAGGGAGGTTGTCTGAGAAGTGAACAAGCCCACAGGTTTAAGATGAAAGGTTCCTTGTAATGTGAGAATGGAAAGACTTGGGAGTAGGAGGAATGCTGGAAAGTTGAGCTGAAAAAAAATGCATATTTTTTTCCAGCCTGTGGCTTTATACCACCTTGGAGATTGATGTTTTTGGCCCAGGAGTACCCCAAAGAGTAGTCTTTAACTTTGTATGTAATTCCTTCTCCAAAAAGACAATACCCCAAACCTAAAACTGAGTGTTACTGGTAACTTAACTGTTAGGATCACAGGTCCTAAATCTGTGTATCCCTGAAGAGGTCTCAGTCTCCTACTCTGGAAAATAGACAATCCTAGTTTCTCACCTCTAAACCCTAATGAGACTTAGATGAGACCAAGGGTATGAGCTAATCCTTAGCTCAAAGCTTCATACAGTATACATTTGGGAAATAGTAACCATTCCATAAATAGTATTATCAATGGTATTACTGTTGCCATTATTAGTATTATTACTATTGATACTTTTAAACAGTGTTCAGTCTTCTATAAGGAAACTATTCCTGAAATAAGCTGAACAAAACAAATGAAAAAAAAAAGTCTATTTTGTCCTGATAATGCCTAAGGGCTGATACTTCCCCGCAATGCCCATCAACTTACAGTTTAACAAAATATTTTTCAACTATCCATTTATCAAATATTCACTGAACTCCTACTATGGGTCAGGCACTATTTGAGGCATATAAGATACTACAGTGAACCAAAACAAGCTTTTATTTTATGAAGGTGAGACAAATAATAAACAGAGTAAAGTAGCAAGTTATTCTCACATAAAAGGTGACATGTGCTTTGGAAAAAGAAAAGCAAAACTAGAATGAAGGAAGGCAAAGGCAACCTGAGACCGAGAAGTGCAGATTGGCTTCCTGCCCTCCCGTTAGGAGGAAAAAGTAAGTTGTTAAACTGCACTAACATTTCAACTTGCTCTGCAGCGCTGGGCAAGACCTTTTCCACTTGCCTGCTCTCCACCTGATTAGATGGGCTCAGAGGTCTTTCCAGACTCAGTGTTTCCCAATGCGTGATGTAGGGATCATCTGTATCAGAATCCTTTGTTAGAAAATACAGAGTCCCCAACACCAATCCAGAGTTACTTAACCAGATTCCTTGGGAGGTGTTCGTATTTTAAGAAATTATTCTTGTATTTCTTAAAAATTCTCAAATTTGAACAGCATGATTCTGCATCTTCTTTCATGCTTTTTCTGTTACCAAAATCCTCATAAAACTAATGTTGCTTGTCTCCAGTCCAAAGCTTCACCTAGGGTTATAATTTCTAAGCAGCTTTGTTGCCCATGATTCTAATCTAGGGTCAACAAGCACTCCTGCTTTATCTCAGCTACCTTCAGTTTAATTTATGGCTGCCGAAAGGCATTTAAGGCTTAAGTTACACCTGACCTATTTGAACACAGCCAACTAGGAACTGTTCAACATTTGGATATCGATTTTTCTGAAAAACTAGCTCAGACAATGGTTTTATGGCGCCAAGGGTAGCATTTCACCTTCCTGATCTTCGAGACATAAATAAATTTTAAATGGGTATCTTGCAGTAAAATAAGTGTATGTCTACAGTTATATTACTGTCAGTATCCTAGAGGAGCAAATTTTTAAACTAGCCATGTAAGTAGCATGAAGTGTTTTCACCAGCTAAGAGAGATTCACCATTTATTAAGCCTTAGGATTTAAATGTCTTTTACATACTGTGTTTCCCACATTTATATATCTAGACAGAATTCTCGGAACTCTAGACTCACACACCCAGATTAGATCTCAGTGGATGTCTGAGTCTGTGATAGCTCATGGAAATTTGCAACAATTTACATTCTAGACAAAAGTCTTAAGTAGTACCAACCCTCCTTCACCCCAAGACCTTTATACCTCCTCAGTTTTGACCTCAGAAATGTTCCTAATCTTTCCCATACTCTACCACACTGCTTGATCCAAACTTCAGCAAGCCTACTGACTCTATCTCTAAAATACTGGTCTTATTCAAACCCAGCCGTGATTTTGTTTCTGCCTTCATCCTTTTAATTCAAGTCACCATCCTCTTACTTACAGCAACAAACACACTTAAAAGCATATAAATAAATCACCTCATATCACCTTTATTATGTCTCTTTCTTCACACAAAATAAAGTCCAAATAACCAGGGGCTACAAAGGCACTTTATCCTGGCCCCCACTTCCCTTCCTATTTCACTACCCACTGCTCTCCTATTTTGGTCAGGGCCCTCTATCTGTGCTTTTTTTTTGGCCTTTTAAGACAGGCTGTTGCTATGCAAATCACGCTGGCCTTGAGCTCCCTTTGTAGCCCAGGCTGATCTGGAATGCACACCAATCCTCCTGCCTCAGCTTCTCAAGGGTTGGGACCATACTTTATTTCTGATCCTCAAACAGCCTACACTTTTCCCATCCTCAGTGGCCTACAGAATTGGTAATGCTTTTGCCTAGATGGCGCATGCTTCGTCATTTCTTACCCTTTACATTTTTAGCTCAGATGTCAGCTCCATAGAAGATATGAGATAGCCTTTTCTGACTATCTTTTCTAGAAAGGTCACCTCTCTATTTCCTTCAAAACAATCATCTCATAATTATTTGTTATTTCTTTTACTTGTTCTCTTACAGTTCTCTGAGGGAATGAATGACCTTATCTGTCTCATTCACCTTGCTACACATAATTCTGATTAAAGGGACAAATGAATAAAATACTTTACTTTTCAATAATGAAAGCCACTAAAGGCAAAAGAGCAGACTTAAACTGAGTACCAGCACATGCAACCAGGCTCTGGGCTCAGAGGACTAGGTACAGAATAAGAGAAAGGTTCTGTCCCCAGTGAGCTTTCAAACTTAAAAAGGTATTTCTTGCTCAATTATCTTTTAAAACCAAAGAAAATCTCTACTCACATTTAACGTTTGTTTGTACTGACTGATGAGAAGCAGGTACTCAATTTTGGGTTAACCACCTTTAAAAAGCATATCCAGTTTCATTTTTTTGTTAGACACAGAAGAACTACCATGAGAGAAACACCTTGGAAGGAATGAGATAAAAGAACAAGAGGCATGATCCTTTGGACAGAGTGAATGGCTACTTTAGACTCGTAGCTCATTACTGGATGTGGGTTACACTGAAGAATACAGACCACACAGGAAGAAGTCACATTTTATAAGGAGAAACTAAAACAAGCCTCTGAATCATTGATGTTTAGAATTTTCAGACCACTGGATCAGTACAAAAGGATAAGGTCTGAGTGAGACAGCACTGATGTTCTGCAGGGCACCCACTGACTGCTGTCTAGTAAACACCTGACTTCACTTGGCACTGCCTTTTATCCAGTCCAGTGATATCTGATGGCTCCTATGTGCAGATAAGGTTTCTCTTAAAAAATCTGACTTCTCAAATTTTTTTTTTTTGTTCAAAATTCAGCCTCACACTGTTTCAGTGGGGTACAATGCTGGATTCTACACCTACACATGGAGGGAATGTGTTAATTACTT